GGGGGGGGGGGGGGGGGGGGGAGGAGGGGCAGAGAGATGGAAAGAGCTGTTTTGTTGAACACATGCTTACTAAAGCTAAAACATCAGTGAAACAATACCATGGAGGATTATACATAACATCAGTCAGTTCAGGGATCTTATGGCACCTGTGGTTTATAAACAGCTTTAGCAACGAGTATTTCAAAACATAGTTCACAGTTTTAAGAAGATCTGTGCTGATTTAAAAACTAGATTCTATATTATTTGAATGTCACCTTTTGTATATGATATCTATTTGGAAAAAAAATATTTACACTAACTTCTATGGCTGATTTGTTAGATTATTTTGAAAGAAACATTCCTAAGTTACACATTAGCCCTAAATTAGAGAGGTTTTTAAAATTATTAATTATATTATTATTATTATTATTATTATTTTAGTACATTTTGTATGTCTTAATTTAAAGACTTGCAAACAAATTGCAAATATAGTCTGGTACTTTGTTTTTTGGGCTACTAGATATATACACTCAGGAGTATAATCATTCAGTGTTAAATGCATAATTGTAGCTTTTTATTTCTTCTGTGGAAAAAATGTACAGTGTATAGTAAACTGATCTACTAAAATCTCAAAAGTATTGAGAAATCAAATTTCTATCTATAAACAGTATTGTCATTGTAAACTGAACAGGTTCAATATCATGTGCAAAGGGTTTACGTGAGTTATTAATACCACCATCCTTTGTAACAGCAGTATGTATGTCAGTCTGTTTTCTTCACCGGTAATGAGTCATGTTACAGAAGATGTAGCTAATATAAGTTAGCTTTAAACAAAAGTCTGGTTGTCAAAAACACACATCTACAAACTACAACTCTTAGAACAAAAGTACTGTGCTACAGTCCTCAGAACTTAGTTATGTGATTTTTTTGTCAAGAGACGCTGCACCTCTTGGTTCCACTCTTCTGTGAAGTTTGCAGCCGAGTTTTCTTCATCATCTGTCCGAAAGCAGCTCTCCTCATCATCAGTTCTTACGTAGCTTTCGTTGTCTGTCTGACTGCAGCTTGCCTGTTGAGAAATGTTTAGGGAAGGTTTTTAAAGAGTGCTGGTTTAAAATGCTGCACTCACACAGGCAGAGCAAGTAAAGCTTCTGCCTGGTGCTTTATTGAGAGAAAAAAGGAGCTGGCCAATTCTTGGGGTAATTCCTGAAAAAGTTAAAAAAGGGAAAAAGTCATTCTACGTTAAGGGAGCCACAGGTATTTGAGCTGTAAACAGAAACATACAGGGCACTTGGGAAGTTGGAAACTCTTCTTACCACAGGTGAGACTGTTGCCTGCTCTGCTGTGGGACTCTGGGGTAACCAGGTTTGCACTGACAACAGATTTGCAGATGTTCCCATTTTCCCTTCCATCTACCCTTCCACGTTGCTCTATAAATAGATTATTGGCAGCTTACTTATGCATTAGTCCCCTCGCACACAGTGTTTAGCCACCTAGCTAAGAGTCACTCACCATCAGACCCCCCCCCCCCCCCCCCCCGTGTAAATATCTCAGCCTTAATTTACATGCTCAGGTGTATTTCCCCATGTCTAAAAAGAAATGCAGTTACTTAAAAGTATGATCCTGGGTGCTCTAGCTCATACACGTCATAATCTGCCGGTGCACCAATTTCTCCTTGGTGCTCCCTCTGTATCCTGAAGCATCAATAAGTACCTCACATTCCTATAATGGACGCATCAAAGTTTCAGTTGGTAATGGAAAATGCTTGATAGATGACTGCTGCTATTTCTCAGAACTGTGTCAGGATCTACAGTCAGGTAATTCCCGTTTTGGCATATTTACACACTTGACCCTTTCAAAGTTAAGGAGCTCATACTTTTTCTCTTGAGGTACCTCTGACAGAAAAGCAATTCGCACTGCATGAGATCTGATAATAACAGCACAAAAGACCAAACCTCACTGACATGAATTCTTTTCTACTCATTTCAGGCATAAAGCTGGTCTACAAGATGAGAGATGAAATGCAAATTACTTCAGTAAAAAAGAGTTAAATTAAAACTGATGACTGAAGAGAGGTCAGGTAGTTTAGCTTGCTGTTTCTGCTTCCTGACACCATTTGATTGTATTAATTATTCAAGCACAAACGCTTCCATCCGATTCCTTAATACCTATGCATGCCAAACGGCATGATGATCTTAATTTAGTATCTCCTTGTGTCAGGCAGTTACAAAAGACCTAGTGTTAACATTTTTGTTGATAAATGGAAAGGAAACTTGCACTGCAAGTCTAATGAGAGGTTCATAAAAAATTTCTGAGGCATATTTTAAATGAATAGTTTTTAAAAATCAAACAGGCATCTGCACCACTTAAGTCTGCAAACTAATTTGGAAATCTTACTAAAGGAACATTCTGCTCTTCACAATTCAGCCAAAAAATGCAAATGAAAGGCATGGAAGAGGTCAGTTCTCAGATGCCTGAGACTGATTTTTACTGAGACCAATCAGTTTCAGGGTTATGTAAATATAGGTACATCTCATATTTCTTGATGGTATCATTATAAACCACAAGAGCAAAATAAGAGTGGCTTATGAAACACTGGATGCATTAAGATGCATTGCTAGTACTGTTAAGCATTTGGGTTTGCTTCAAATCTTCTGGATAAATGACTTTTCTTTGGTGGAGTGCAGAGAGGGTTATTCTAAATTCTCTCAAGGCTTCTCTCTGTTCCACAGCCAGCCTTGGGATAGAGAGATTTTCATACAAGAAATAATGAGTACTAATGAACCTCAGAGCTATAAATTCATTGCAGCATTTTGGAAATGCCAGAATTAATTCCAAGTTAAGACTCATATGATTCATCATGTTATAAAACTGTGTCTTGACTTTTTTTTTTTTTTTATAACTTAATTCACAGGTTCTTTTCTGTTACTTATCATTCAGTGATTCTCAAAAAACATCCCTATCACTTGTGTAATTTTAGAATTAAATTCACAAAATTGAAGCTGCTTCTTCCCAGTCAACTCGGTCACAGTTTTTCTACAGCTTTTTTACGCCTACATGCTAAAAAAAGGAGGATTTAAGGAGAAAAATAAAGAGGAAAACCAAAATATAGCTGAGTGAATGTAGCAGACATTTTTGAAGATTGCTGTGCTGTCAGCCTGCTGTTATTTTCAAATGGAATGGTCCACATAATGCTGTTTTTTATGTATTTGTTCAGAAAAAAACCCCCAAAAGAGATGCTGACTCATCTGGTTGTGCAAGTGGAGTATGACTTATGGGTGTGAGCAGTTCATCTAGTGTCTGTATCTTCTTCACCATTGCATTGCTGACTTTTAGGAGGAATAGGCTGAAGAAACTGGGCTTGCTGAGGCTGGGGCAGAGGTGGCAAGGGAGGATCAGTTAGCAACTATTTGAAAGGCAGTTACAAGGATAACAAAGCCAAAATCTTATTGGCAGTGCTGAAGTGCACAAAAAGGACAAATCACATTTTGGGATGTTCAAGTTGGACATTAGGAAAAAATAAAAAACATGTGGAGGGTGGCACTGCACTGGGGGGCATGCCCAGAGATGTGAAATTTCCATCTGTGGAGGTTTTAGTCTTTGCTAGAGAAAGTCACGGCTGACATGGTTCTGTGTTGGAGCTGGACCTGCGTCAGGTGGGAGACTGGACCAAATGGCCTCCCGAGGGTCCAACCAACCAACTCACCTACACCCCTGTGACCTCCTGGCATGAAGCCCATGCTAGGAATGGGCTAGGGCGGTGCATGAGCCAGTCAGCTCTCATTAGCAGTGTTTGGGCAGCCAAAGAGAAGCCAGGGCACAGCTGGGAGATGTGCCTTGGGCAGTGGGCACAGCCAATCTGACACCCACACATCCATTAACTCTGGGCTAGTTACCTGACTTGGACCCTGGGCTACAGATCCTATGTCCCATCCTTCCCAAACAGTAAATGGCCAGGTCCATGTCGCAAAGGGCTGAAAATGTCAATGGCCAGTGAAAGTAGCTCTAAAATCTTATTTCCTTCCCAGAAAAAAATGGAGAGCAGTGCAATTATGTCTTTACAGCACTTAAATCGTCTGTGCTCTTTGGCTTAACCAAGAGCCCTTCTCACAGCGGCACACTGGGTGGATGGGACTGATCACACCATCTCCCTCGGCCCATCGGTTTTATCACCTGACATTTGGCAATATTCCCAAACTCTGCTGCTAAACATGAAAACAGAGTTTGGAGAAAAAGGGAGAAGGTGAGGAGAACGTGAAAGTGTCACTCCCTAAGACTTCTGTCTTGGAAAAATAGCCAAGTTGAATAAATAATAATTTAACAATGCATTCATATGAAAAAGCTGAAGGGATTTGGGGGTCTGCTGTTTGAAAAATTTCTACCTGTTTCAGTACAAACCATTCTGTCATTTTTGCAATGGAAAATGTCACCCCTGGCCACCCAAAGCCTCAGACCCCACAGTTTGTGTCATAAGGTTTAGAGCAAGTGAAAGGGTTTGGGGTGGGAATGGAACTGTGTCTTCAACTTATATTATGTTTTTGTCAACACAGAAAAAATGTGATCACAATTAAAAAACTGAGAATGAAACCTCTAATAAAGACTCCTCCCTATACTCCCTTTCAGGTGGATGCATTAGGTCTGATATTTATTAGCTTTTCACACCTCCATTTCTGTTATAATAATGCATATAAATGAATTAGACATGACCAACTAACATGTTGCTATATCAGCACTAAAAATGCATTGCTTTAGAAAATTTAGGAAATTGGAGGTCTCACGGGAACATGTCCACTGCACAAATCAACAGCTCTTCACTGAAAATGACAATTTTTTAACCACTTTCAGAGATGGAGGCTTTCTGCTCCCATTGACCATCCTTGGCAAAAAAAGGAACTGCTATCAGGGAGATAAAGGCAAAATAACATCAAAGATACACATTCACCTAATTTCAAGATCTGTCTAGAGCCTGCCAAAAACAAGCTCAAAATCACTGTTACTCTATTAAAAATAAGTGGTATTAAGTACATTTAACATGAAAAGTAAACTGAAAACATGATTAAATTATGTTTTATATATTACTAGAGCCACTTGGCTGTTATAGATGTTATTTCAAAATCAGTTCTAAAGAATTGTACATAGCACTTTTAAAAATGCAAATAGAATGTAAAAAAACTTAATCCACTGCCATCAACACCACTTGTCCGTGAGTGATAAATAAGGAAATGAACAAAACTCTGTGGCTGGCCACCAGTGGCAATATCACACACAAGAAGCTATAATAAACTGATTCTATTTTCCCCACCTTCTTTTAAATAAGCACAAATGTAATACTGTTGTGAGATTAAAAAGTCTGTTGGCTTTTTGCCTCATGTGGCTATCTAGGCAGTATACCACTGACTGTAGTTGTATTATCTTTGATTGATTAATATTACCTAAGAAGCAAAGTCTTGATGTAATTGCTAAGCTTCAAGCACGAAGCCAATGTAAACAAAAAAAGCCCTTTAGATATCACAACCGGTATGAACAATTCTGGATTTAATTTTCCAAGGCTATGAAATATTAGTATCAAATACAATGCACAAAACACTTTAATCTTCTATATTCACAAAAGAGTGAATCTTGAGAAGACTAAGCTATGCTTATCATATGCAGATGTATTTATCACAACGTACTATAATACAGACTTTGTTTTTGTGGATGTAGGTGAAGTGCCAAGTTCACTGATTTCTGTTGCTAATTCCAATAGGACCAGGCTTTTACAGCTGCTGGGAGTGTTTCAGTCTTCAGTACTGGCGGAAGGGCTCCCCTGGGAGCTAAGTTTCACTATGGAATTAATGAGAGCGCAGTGCTTTAAAAAACTTCTTATTGATGGGATTTCATAAGGTTTCAAAAGCATCCAGAAGATGAGGTAGTAGCTCCATCTCAGATCTCTAATTTCAGACAGGATACATATTTTGAAGCAAGCAAGGCTGTACAGCAGTATGCATTTTCCCACATCACCATGTTAACACTGCTTCCTAACATAAAAGGAAACCTTAAATAGGATTGTCTGAGCTTTATAATACTAATGAAAAGTATTTTTTTTTCCTAAATATTGCAAAAGGTTTATCTGAAGGCTACTATCTGTTAAAGTCATAGTTATTCATAATTGTAATTAAGTTACATATAACATTTCCACTATATACATAGCTATACACACATACATTGTTCTTGAAAGATCTATTTTCCTTTTCATGTGACCTGACCTATAACTGACAACTGCAACATAACAGAAGAAGAAAACTTATTTTTCTGGCTGTCAATATTTAGAAAATTCTACATGGCTCATGTTTTTAACAAGGCTACTGAGAAAATGAATCTAACCTGAGGGGCAATGTTAGGAGAATTTTTATGAGCAGTTATTTGGTGTTTATAGTACTCTGGGTATTGCCATTTATTTGCTTTTCACATCCATTTATTCGGCTTTAGCTGCCAGAGACACTGAGACAGATGCTTCAGAAATACCTAACAGCTTTTAACACTGAAGACTGGCAGTTGCTTACACAAGGTCCACACTTTAACATCCAAACTACTGTCGTCAGAAGTTGCAAACCCCTTGAAACAGGGTCAAATTTTGACATCAAAACTGCCATATAAATAAGGAGGTCTACCATAAAAGACGGCATACAAAATCAAACAATGTGAATTCCTGCTAAAGTGGGCACAGGCTAGTTCACTGGTTTTGCTTATCAGAACATGACCCTGCTCCCAACTTGAAGTGCCCATTTGATAGTTGACCTTTGGTTGCCTTTAGTTCTGGCTTTGAGGAAGAGATGCAGTTTTCAGACCAGAGTTAGACCCCTATTTTGATTTTGCCTCCCTTTCGGGCCCTGTTACCCCATGGTTCAGTGTCCCAGTAGGATGGACAGCATCATCTCACTGCCACCTCCACAGCAATGCACTGCACTCTCCTAGGAAGTCAGAAATGCAGAGTCCACAGCTTCAGATGAGGCAAGAAGGAAGTGTGTGGTCTCCCATTTCCTGAGTTCAGAGTAACAGGCTACTTCATAAAAATAGCCATGGCCTGTGTTCCAGAATAAAAACACAATTGCTGAACTTGATGTTAAACTCAGTGATGCAACTGTGATGTTGGCACATGTAAGGAACATGACGTATGTGCCAGCAGGGAATTTATAGACCTTCTTGCCTTATCTCTGAATTGCCAGACTCTAGCTAGTAGCGGAGCACCTTGCACTTGGATTGGGGCATTTTAGACTTCCACAACACATCTGAAGTTATCCTAGGAAGACTAAAGCACTCTAAGGAACTGAATTCAGATCTGAAATGTAATCCGATTCCTTATCTTCTGGATAAGGTTTCTCCGTACTGGCTAATATATCTGTCATCATGCCCAGGGATGAAAAGCCCACATTCTCACTCTTACAGTCAACAAAAGAAGAAGATAAAAAGGGTGGTGGCTTAACAGGAATCCTCAGGACTAGGACTACATTTCAAAAAATCAGGAATGATTTAGAGAGATCCTAACATAGGTTAAAAGGAGAAAGAAACAGCATCATCACATGCACTCAGGCAGCACAAGGTGCACTGCAACTGAAATATACATTATAAGGATTAAATCCAAACATTCTTCTAAATTATAATGATACTTACTTGAGAGGAGAGATAGAAGGATATTGCACTCAACTTTGCAAACTGACCTGTAGATAACAAAGGACAGAAAACAAGAAGATAACAAATTAAGCCAGTGAGCAGCCAGGCAGTGTATTATTCTGAAGAAAGCCATGCACAAGCCTAGAAATAAAGGGAGCAGTTATGGACCCAGAAAGTAAACCCAGTGAAAAGTGTCTTACACAACACATCCAGCAAAAGACTGTAACAAGAACACAACTGGTACAGATGTGGGAGGATAAGCACTGTTAGCATTTATACTTGTGCAGTAAATGTGTTTTTTTCTGGTACAAGTTATTTACAACATGCTTAAAAAAAAAAAAAAAAAAGAGAAAGAAGCCTCCTTTGAGGTTCCCTGTCCCATATTTCCTTGTGCATCGGGTTTTCTGCTCATACTTTAATACTAACTTAGAGTTTAGCTTGAGAATCTTACTTGGAGGCAAGGTGACATGAAATAACAAGAGTGGGTTTTGACCAACCATCTTCCATGCTATACTACTTCTACATGTTTTTCTAAATGTGCTGCTTTTACACAAAGTGAGACATGTAAGAACATAAAAATGGTTACCATATTGTTACTGAGGTTACCATTCTGTAATGTTAGTAGGAGTTCCTCCTCACAGATTTTTTCAGTTGACAATTGCATTACGATAGCTACAGCCACCAGCTTTTTTTGGCTATCCAGATGAATGCAGTGTACATGTGAGTACAAATAGTAAAATAGCCTGTAATAAATTCCAATGGTTTGATGCAGAATGAGAATAGTTGACCTGGCCACTGTTCAACAGTATACCCTAAACAGAAATTTCCCAATTTTGCTTTGGTTTTGCAAGTAGAAGGTTGTGTCTTTATGAGACTACTCAGTGATACTAGTAGAAAAAGGAGTAGAATAGCAAAATACCACAAATTAACTGCAAAGCCCACAGAACGAGCCAAAGCCAAAGCACATGTCTCAAATCAATATATGACACTATCCAACCAACTCCTAATCCTCCTAGTGGTCCCTACTAACTTAATACCTTTTCTTGCTTCCTTTAAGCCTGTTCCCTAATTGAAAGGGCATCAGCCATACTGGGAAGGACTTCTCACGCACTGCGTGCTTTGGGTCTGTGGTTATCAACTAAAAATAGTTTCTACTTACAAGTCACTACTGTCAAATCATCACCTGATAGGAGCTGACAATCTCACAGACAGTGAAATACATCATGAAATTTCTTTTGGAAAAATGCTATTAAACAGAACTTGCCTTGAAGGAGGACTTTCTGTTCCCTCAGTGAATACATTTTCAAAGAAAAAAGCCCTTCTCTTTTTCTGTGGTGTTTTGTTTTGTTTTGTTTTGTTTTTTTCCCCTCGATGAAAAAAAAAATTGTGCAAAACAATGGGGAACAAAGTTCACCTAGGTGTAGTCTTGGCTGACCTAAATTCAAAAGGATTTTGATTCTGACATTAATATGGAGATTTCCTTCTCTTCTTTTGGGAATGTTGTTGGAAGACAAGTGGAAAAGCTCTATTTGACTGAATCAAGAGTAGCACCCAGTTCTACTGAGCGACACGTATAACTTCTACTGCACAATGAATGTCTTTATTTTGCAGTGCACATGCATACTCAGCTTTGTGCATGTACGAAATGCTGTTGTAACTTGTGAAACTCATGTAAAACTGTTGCCATATATTGTACTTCCATACTGTAATCAAAGTACAGTCAAACTGGTCTATCATTCTTTCTGGAGAAATGGCATTTTTATCAGCAATAACAACATCTATTATTTGATGCTTGACAGCTATCACCATTCTGTTCAGAAGTTTAAAGGCTGCCATTTTTGCCATTTCCTACCCTGGATAAAAAATTGTGACAAAAACACCCATGTCACCCACTGTTGCCTTAGTAGATAGTCTTTAACAATTCTGCTCCTGTTGTTATGTCTTTAAAGACCTTTGCAATGAAATGCAACATCAAGTTCAAAACTATCTGCAATTTTGCTATGAGTCAATGAACAAGACTGACTTATCCTAGCAGGTTTTCAGAAAAGAAGACCAAAAGAGCAGTCATTCTTCATTAGATCACAAGCCTGTCAGTCTCAGATTCTTCTCTCCAAAGTGATTGGTAGTGGACACTAGAGAAAAACTACCAGAAAAAAAGGCTACCACAAAAAACTACCACAAAAAAAGATGTTATCTCCCAGCAGTCAGCAGTTCAAGGAATTCCTGACCAGAAGGTGCTTTTGAACCTCATTTCCATACACCTGATCTCTCAGTACCTGCTTAATTCTTTTAGCCCATTTATCCTTTTGGTCTCTGTTATATGCTGTAGTGGTTGAGTTCCAAATTTTAATTGATCACCATGTGGGAAAACAGTTATTTTTGCTTGCTTCACCTCTGCTCCCAAGTAACTGAACTGGGTGTGCCCCCCTACTGACATCAGAAGTAATGAATTTTATATTAGGATGATCCAAGTCAGAATAATTTACAAACTGGCCATAATCCATTACAGCACGCAGAAGTGGAGACCATTACACAGACAGGACATGATATCTACAGAATGCCATCTCCCCTTGGCAAATCTCCTTTACTCAGACTCTTAAACTAATGCCCTTTGAAAACTTTCTCGAGGTGTTTAATGACAAATCCCCAGACTTCTCTGTACTAGGTGCTTGTTGAATACATGGTCCCCTGGGATACAATTCATTCCAGATCCTTTCCTCCCCTTCCAGATTATGACAGTGACAATGACACAGAGACCCCACTTGAGTGGAGAAACCGTAGGGAATGTTTTTCACTACTGAAGAAAAAAACCTCAACAAAATTTAGCAAGAGCTAAGCTTAGCATCAGCAACCAGTCTCTATGATATGGAGCTCTGAGGTCTAAGTGACTTGGCAGGCACTGGCAGAGAACAAGTTCAGAGGCAACTCTGGCCCACCTGATGCCCCAGTAAGCTTAATGACTACTGTTGTGTGCCTCAGGCAGTGTGGTCTTCCTGGATATGCACAGGGGCTAGAGACATGTGTGTCTATGGAAGAGAACAACAGTAGTTTTTGGAATGTGGCTACTCTAGTAACTGAGAAGAGATCATGCCCCAGGGCCCATGATGACTTAATAAGGGCACTGGGCAACTGTGGCACATTATGGTTTCTCACTTATGGTCATGTATGGACAGCTCCCGTCTTCTCCCACCTGGTATGCCTCATCCTGCAGCTTCTGCTTCAGGTACTCCTCCATCTTCAGTTCATTCTCCAGCTGGCGGACAGAGTCATTCTCATAATTTTCATCATCTGCTCTGACATAGGGGTCTCCATCTTCTGTAACCCTGAAGACAATTATTAATAAATAGCCTCCTGAGATGAATGACATTCAGATTCAATAAAACTTCCCTTTACTGTAAGCTACGAGGACAGCGGGATACTTTTAGTCCAATCACATGTTCCATCAGTTAGTATTTTTCTGGCAGTGGAAAACACTTCCGCTATTTCCCCTCTCCAGTGGCCTGGTATTGATACAGTAGACCAAAGGGCATATTCTGCTGAAGGCATTCTAGGGGTACAACCCTACAGACATGATTAACAGAAGCCTTCAATAACTTCTTTGAGAGTGATACGAAGGGTAAGAGGTTGAACTAAAAATAACTGGAAAGATGCCTATAGTCTTTGAAAGGCAGATTCACATTCTAAAAATAAATGGGTTTGCTGATCAATTTAATTGGTCAATAAAAAGCACTGTCTTTTCCAGTTAAAAACTTATCTTTTTCCAGTGGGCTCCTACAGGTGCCTCAGTCTGGACGAGCAGGGAATAGGACTGCAGAGCCTGTTAGGGAGTACAGCTGTCACACAGCCTCCATGCTGCCCAGGCGTACCAGACTGGATGTGAGACAGCTCACTCCTGAGGGCATCCTAAGTTCTGGCTTTTATTGTTTACAGAGCTTACTACTACCTATGAAGCTGTCCTCACTTGGATTTAGGCATTTTTTTGGCAATCAAATAGTTGAGAGGGGGAGAAAATATTAAATGCTGCATATTGTTTTCAACAGAAAAAGAATGAGATTAAGAGCAGGTACCCACATGTCACTGCGGATGGAGCCGGTGGCAGCGGCGCTGTGGAGGTACCCTGGCTTCCGGGCATGGATCTGCGCAAGGAAAGCCTTCTCAGACGTTGGGGATGGAACGAGGTCATCAAAATGAGTTCGTCCAAATTCAGAATCCACATTGCTTTCTGTCTCGCTGCCCACTTCTGTGAAGCAAAAGGTGACACGTTTCCATGTAACTCTCACAACAGTCAGTATACTTACCTATTTCTCTAAGCCTTTCTCTGCCTTTCCAACTTAGAATGCCACCTCCTCATAGCACATAACATATATCTGCAGAGCTAATAGTTGTCTTCTTATGGTGGGAAAGAATAGTGAAGCTTTTGCTTATCTTGGTTATTTTCATGAGAGTACTACAGACTGGATTTTACAACAGGTCCTCTAAGTTCTACACTGAACGAAATTTCTAAAGAGTGAAATCCTGCTCCACATGGAATCACAAACAAACTTCTCAAAGTTTTCACTGTATCCAGCTGCACCTGTACGTCCATGGCTGTCAGAACTGCTGTATTCCTGAAGCTGCTATTTAGGGATTTTTTTTTCTAAAAGCATAAAAAACTTTAAAGATACATTACACTGCTTTTTTGTTGGTTTATAGTTTCCTACCTCTCATTTTATCAAATATATGTGAAATGTCAATGTGGTGACTATCCACCCTTGTTAGCCTTACTCACCAGAATTTAGTTCTTTTACCAAAGAAGACATGGTGTTGGTGATTGAATCTGCTGCCACCAGCAAATCGTTTCTTAAGTTTCGTCTTGCACCTGAAGCAAGAGACAGACAAAACACAGTGTTAATATTCTTCACAAGGCATATGTTTTCCTGTTGAAAGCAGTTTTAACCCTGCTGAAAGCTGCCATTGTGACAATTCAGGGTATCAAAAGTTCTTACGAGGGACACGTGCAGAAGAGTTCTCTGCAGAATGGCCTCATTTACTTATGCTGCATGAAAGAGCAGAAGCCTACCCTCATGCTTCATTTAATCACAATGCCAGATATGTGAAGATTATTCATTGCCATCAAGCTTGCATTTGTGTGGTGACACCAGCAGACCAGGCCTGGAAGATTAAATCCAGCGTGAACTCATTTACAATGTCTATGGGGGAGGAGGGAAGAAATGAAGTGTTTTCTCTAAGTTCCCACAGCTCTGTTTAATGACACCATTATTGCCAGGTATTTGCCAGATAATTATGGCAGATGTTGAAGAAACATACTTGACCTCATCAAGACTGATACAGATTTTTCTTCTCCATTCTCTTTCAACCTCTACAGTAGCTCAAGGAGTTTCTTGTATATTCCATAATTTACTTTTTCTCCCTCTTTTTTTTTTTTTTTTTTTAAATAAAGGAAGCAGTATTGCCTCTCTAAACAGCCCCAGGCTGCTTTTAAACTCTTTCTAATAATGGATCTAGAAGTGCTTCCCTGCTGAACCTGGCAATATTCCCTTAACTATCAATCATGAAAGATTCTTGTGAGCTGCATGAAATACTCCTTCCCTAGGAGCAGGCTGTGGGTAATGCATGCTTAACTCCCCCAAATCCCAAACATAGCTCCTATTGTAGCTGAATAATCAATATATCCCACAGAATCTCTAATCTTCCAGACTAGATTTTTTACAGGGATTGGCAGGATTTAACTGCTGTAGATTCTTTTAAAACTGGCTGAATGTAAAACAATAGACTTCAAAAAATTCCCAGAATTCTAATGTTCTTTTTCTAATATATCCATTAGCAAATGGTTACTAGAATGTAAATTAGTTAATTTCTCTCTTACACACAGAGATACACTCAGCCAGCCATTCCCTTTCTGAATGCTTCTCGAGTTTGTATCTCTGAACTACTGCAGACATAATGAAAAGAGAAAAAAACAAACAAGAGAAACCATGCTTTAAGGACGGCTTGTCTGTGTTATGTATATATAAGCAGATCTCTGTGCAGCACAGAATGGAGCTGTAAAATCTCAGCCCCCCCCCCCCTAAGTTGTATGTCAAGATGTGACAGAAGGGCTGGCTTCAAGTTCTTTGGGTTTGACCTTCCCATCTAGAGAATATGGTAAATAATGACATAAAGCTAGATATTTATCAAATGCAGCAGTTTCTAAATGTGATCACTTACCTTTTTATATTGCTTTTTCTCTTGAACAGAACACATTTATACACTTAAAAAGCATTTGCCTGAGGCAGCTTTAGTATTATTCATGGATCTTTTATTGTGGCCACTACATTATTTCTCTTACTTTTAACTCTGGAACAAACTGCCCTACAACAGCATAGGGATTAGTGGTCCATATTTTTGCCTGTCTTGATTTTGTCACAGCAAAAAGAAGAAAAATACCTCTTGCCTGTTTCTTTTGCCACAGAAAATGAGATATCCAGCAATCTGTTATGTTTGGACTAGGAATTATGCCTTAGTAAACTTGTTCAATACATGAATTGACTAGCACTTTAGTAGAAAGTTCTTGATTGCATTATATATTCAACCTTGTCATAACATACACCCAGACACAACTGCCATGAAAGTCAAGGGGAAAGGTACAGGAGAAGGCTGAACTAGGCTCCTGGGAACAAACATGCTTCCACTGTGGCAGAGGAACTCCAGAGTTCCACTTACATTTGATTTGTACTAGGGAAACAGGAAAAAAATGTATTCAAAGAAAATAATTCCAGTGAGAGCAGATTAGAAAAAGAAAAATATTTCTTCATTTAGATCACATAGACTATTCACTTTCTTATATTAAACACAATAATTTAATCTGTGGCCTTAGAAATTCAAAACAGTTTAAAATTTATTGTTACTTGACAAAAGAGTGGAAAAAGGAGTGAGAAACACAGTGAAGCCTATGTCAGTTTTCTGGAAATGAAAAGGAAGGGTTCACCTAGACTTCCAGGTTCTTGTCTAGCAGAAGGACAAGGGACAACACTCACAAGTTGCATCAAGGGTTGTTCCAATTAGATACAAGGAGAAAAATTTTCACAGTAAGCATGGCCAGACACTGGAACAGAGGCTGTGGAAATTGCATGCCAGGAGCCATTCAGAAATCAACTGGTTAAGGTCCTGAATGGTCTGATCTCACTCTGAAGCCCTCTTTCTTGGAGCAAGAGGACATGGTGACTTACAAGAACCCTTTCCACCTGAGCTAATTCTATGACGGTATCATCTATTCCTAACAAAGTATTTAAAACCAAACACACTGACAATGCCTTGCTGAGGCCAATAGCAATTCTTCTGGTTAACAGACCACTGATAACTGTTCTCACCACCTTGCATCAACATTCCCTCTTATTACAAAATCCATTAATTGGCATCCTTGTCCAGTTTCTGCTTACCTGCTTGCTTTGACAGCAAAGTCTAATGGCTGACAAAGTTGATTTTCAATGGCAAAACACAGTTATTGCACTTTTTTTTTTTTTTAAATTTCATGCAACTCAGAAGCTCAAGTTCATTTAGTCATTAACCACAAGCAATAATGATTCTTCAACCAGTCTCGGAGTACCTCAGACAAGCTATTAATGAGACTTACTTTGTGCAAAGGCTTCCTGCACATCTCCTCCCACCCCGGTCAGAGAGTCCTGAGGTGCGTGGGTTGGGGTGGAGCAGGCAGAGGCTGACCTGATGGGCATTGGAATCGGTCGACTTATAGTGTGGCTGGGTGAGGAACGTGGGGAGCCTGCCCCTTGGGTCTGCAAAACAATCACAAGGGGTTAAACAGGTCTTTGCAAGACCCTTGCCTGCTGTCCTTCTCACCCATTCCTCAGCTTAAAGGCATCATGCTGTTTGTAGATCAGTTGGGCAATGTTAATTTTGCTAAAAGAAATATACTGAGGTCAGCTGTTAGCGGAGAGCAATGCTTCCATGTAGAAATAGTAACTGGGAAAATATGAGTCAAGATCTGACTTCCTTTAAGCATGGGAAAATGTCAAGCAGCTAAATTAAAGAAAATCCAAGTGAATAAACACCAAAGTAGTGACCTTCTCTCTGCCCTCTTCCCTCTCTCATTCCCCTGATTTTCATGCATGTTTGATAAAACATAACCCATTCAGGCTGTGAGAAGGGGAAAGATGCTGGCACCAACATGGCTTTCAGCTTGGGCAAGGGACTGAAACAGCCCCTTTCATCAGAGTGCTGCCGTGAGAGCTGATCACTGCCCTGCCCTACGCCTCCCCACAGGAGAAGTTCATGGTACATGCAACCTCTCAGTCATATAAAGTCTGACACCTGCAATAAATAATATAGCTTTATGCTTTTTATTCGGAGCTAGAGAACTATTTTAAGCTGCTATTAAATCATACACTGTTAAATTGTTCGCTCTACAGGATATACTCAGGCACTCCCAAAACACTGTGGGGATAGGGCAATATAAATTCCTGCTATGGCTTCAGCTGCTGGAAGTGAAAATGTTTTAACACCAGTCATATAAAATGTCATGCCGTTAGCACCTCACAGTTAGTATCACTTAGCTGAAATTCAATCAGACTTCACAAAACAGTCATTTTTACAAACACAGCTGGGTGAGTGATACTGAGAGACACAGTGCCCTTTTCCATCCACTGCTTCAAAACCCCTGGGAATGTGTATCCACATAAGAAAAAAAAAATGCTGGAGCCCACACTAAACTGCACACGGCTTTTGACTGAAAACCTGTGTTAGGTAGATGGCAAGGATGGAGGGGGCTTGAGTGCTGTTAAAAGTGAACTGCAACACATCCCCCTGGTTGTTTACAGTGGAAAGTAACCTGAGGGCTGGTGTTTCCCTCACCCTGGCTTTATTTTTAAAATTCAGGTGGATTTCTTAACTCTTCCCACAGCGTTTATTTTGACTACTGTAGTGGCTGCCACTGCAGCCCTGACACAATTTGGCAAATAAGTTCTGAAAAAGACAATAGCAGCCCATTGCAAGAGAAGTGCAGCACTGCCCTTGAGATTTTTATAAATTTCTGCCCTGGACATAAATAATGTATCAGAATACTAAGCTATTTGTTCTTTTCTCGTATCACCCCTTTCTAAGAGACATTATCATCAGAGAGACATCAGGGGCAAATTACGTTTATGAGGAATAAGCCCATTACTGATGGGAGAATGGAGGATTTAATACTTATAATTTCTTTAATGATTGGTTTTAGAACATTTAAATGATGGATGAAAGGGAAGTTGAATATATAAAGGCCAGATGCTCTCCTGTTTCTGGAATCATCTGTACCCACTTCAGCAGAAATGCAGATCTCTAGTCTTCCAGAGGCAGGGCACAGAGTAACCTGGAGATGCTCCAAGGTCCTTAGAGGTTGCACCCCCTGCCCGTCAGGCAGGGGATCTGGGATCTACAGCTATCTCCTTTCACGAATCTGTGAAAAAAAACTGTGAAAAAATTTCTGGTTCCCAGCTTCCTCTTTTGCTTGCCCTTTTTCTCAGCTCTCCTTTGCCTTTGATCTCTGTTCCGGGGAACACCAACAACAGTGGGAACTTTCAAAGATGAGAAAAAAATGGACAAAATTTGCTTCCTATAGTCAAGTCACATTCAAGGAATGAACTTCAGAATAGGCATTTTATTTACTAAAAGTAGCAGATGCCTGCCAGTACTTCTCTGGAATTTTCCCACAGGAGAAATGCAAAAGCTGTTGCACACCAGTGCTTACCCTTGTGTCTGCTTTGCAGCTATGACTGAGATCTTGTGTTTATGATAAACAGTGCTTTCTTATCTGTAGCCTTCAGCATAGGAACAAACTGTTTGGGAAGAACAGGGACATGAACATTTGGAGTCCCCTGTCCACTAAAAAACTCTCTTTTTATACTGTTTGGGCAGTATCAAACAGAAATTATGAAGAGCAAGTTGAAATAGAAGGATATTAGGGAATGCCTGATTTAAGAGAGATGAACACTTTAGTTACATTTTGCTCATCTAGCCCCACCTCAGCCCAAGTTTGTGGGAATGGAGTGCTATCAGGATTGGATTCCAGCTTAGTGGTTATCAGGAGAAATGTGGTTTTCACAGCTAACAGCCTCAAACCTGCTATGATAATCAGTAGTGACTTCTTGCTAATCTCAGCAGAGAAATCAAGCACCAAATTGCTCCCAAACCTCGGCAGCTCCACCAGTTAAGGACTAAGGCATGCTGAAAAGGGAGCTACTGCAGCCACCACAGGTATGTGGATGGCTTCAGTTTTTATGTTGTACTTGGTTGCAGCTATTAATGTTCTTGTGCCTTCTAGGAAAACTTCTAATGTATTTCACTTAAGCCACCATCCCTAGTCAACCTGCTATGGATTTTAAGTTAACCCTTGCTAAACCGGAAAAGATTCCTCACTATCAACTGTCATGCATGCTTAGGATAAAATGCTTGGAATGAAATTTGGCTTTACAGAAGCTTTAGCCCATTGCTCCCTCTGCCGGAACTGAACTGGGATGACATATGGGGAAAGCCTGTCTCACTGCCTCATACAACGACATGGATTAGAAGAACTCATTATCCTTTCTCAGGGAAGGGCAGGAGAGAAAGTTCATAAGCATTAGATGAATTGTCAGGCTGCTCATTCCAACTGAATTCCTCCAGGAAGTAATTTAATCCTGTTTCTCTCAACAGATCATGAAATGGCATAGTGTAATGGGGATCATTTAATGGAAATTGTGAGAGTAATTCCTTAGCATCATCATCTGGTATTCAGCCAGACTATTACTATTGGAAGAAAACCCCCTCATAGCTCATATCTCAGCCTGAGAGATATCTCAACCTCATATCAGCCTCAAAATGTGCTTTCGCTTATACTGTCCAGTGAACGTTTTATATGATAGGGAAACTCTTGCCGTGTTGGTTGGAAACTTCTCTTTTGTGAATGGAAGAACTTTTAATACTGCAGAATCAAAAAAGACAGTCCTTACATGGAGGTGATGTTTGGTCAGATTTATTTTTTTGTGTGTAACAGATTGATGCTCTACAAAAATTAGCCAAAATATTAGTTTTATGAAGGTGAGCATTACCTACAAACTCTGCATGCTCTACCGCAGACAGACCACAACAGACTTGTGACTGTACTTCTGCTGATGAAAGCAAGAGGAAGTGTGTTTTGTTAAAAGGAAACATTTTTATCAGACTCATAAATCATGCTGCTGTTTGAAAAGTGTTTTTGTTTTTTTTTAAGCCTAGTATCTGTCCAAGATCCATTTCAATACTAAAATGCTCCAAAACAATTAAATCTTCTAAAATTTACCATTAATAATACAAATACTTGCCCCTTTTCATCTAGGTTGCAGAAGACATTTAGAAACTTCATTATTTTCCTGAAGACTCACAGGACAGTTATTATCAGCGTCTACTTTAAAAGATGTGCACACAATGCCCTGACTTTTTCTGGATAAAGTGGGATTTCAAACTTATCGCCCTGGTCTACCTTAAACTCAGCTATGTTTTTAATAAAGTTCCAAAATTCTCATTACATTTTCAAAATGTTATCTATGAGAGAAGTATTCTTCAATTCATATTCTAGATTGGTTTCACTACATTTGGATGGTGGCTTCCATATCTTGCATGTTCTTATTTAGACGAGTGAGAAAAAGATTAAGACTCCTTGTAGCCATGACCTCACTTTCTAGAGGGCTGTGATGTTTACTTGTGAAAATTGCTTCAAGATACTTGAAAATAATGTGTGAAAGAACTGCAAAATATTAATTTTGGTCAAAAGAAAACGCACACATTTCAAGCAAAGGAAGTAAAATACATCACAGGAAAACAATCACATTTAGGAGTTAGTGAAGCCTCCAAAAAGGAGGTAACTTAATACCTGTTTCAATTCTTCTTCCTAAAGAAAAAGAGGATCAGCACATATGATTAGCCAGGGTATAGGTGAAGAAAAGAAAACAGAGCCAAATTTGGAGTACAGGGTTAAAGGTACAGTCGAGATAGTTGAAGGTACGTGACCAGGTTATGGTCCCACCTCTGCACACTTTGAAACACCAGAACAGTGTAAAGTGTGCAGAAAGCAACTACCATTTCCTACCCCAAATTCTCTTTGTCTAGGCAGTGCGATTTACAGCAGGCAGCCCTGACTGCTAGTTGTAGCACTGCAAAATTTCATAGGTACAGTGAAAAGTATCCTGTCTACTTTCAGCTCCCAAAAATCTGCTGGCTACTCATTGGGCTCTGCTGCTCAGGTGCCAACAATACCTGTGGCTGCAGAAGCCTGTGCCTGAAGAGGTGCAAATGACATAAGGAGTCAAACTCATCCTTTGATGCAAATACATTGTTGCTAAATGGATTTCAGTGAAATTCTGCTTTTTATCAGAGCCATATCTGACTCAAGTTCCACTAAATTTCCATGCACTCATTTTATTTGGCATGGCCAAACCCAAAACACTCTTATGCTATTCAGAGCACTTTTTTCCAGTGTGAATTTTTGTCATCATCTGTCCTGAGGCACATCAGGTAAAATAGGGCTGGACTCTGCAAACAAAGACACATTTGCCATTTTACCCTAGTCTGTCTTAAAAATGCACATGCTTTTTGATACCTTCATTTTTAACTGAGATCCTTTGTTGAGACACGTTTCATCCATTTAACAAGGGTTTGTTTCTGTATTTATGAAAATGACCAGCTGTTGTTGGGAATCATCGTTAGATGTGGTTGTCAAATGGCACGTCTGACAGAACTAGCAACTGAATGGGCAAAGTTAAAGGAACTAGCAAAAGCAGTTCTGTACTGTTAGCTGGAGTAGTTACTGGAGTGTACAGTGCTGAGTTGTTTTTCTCAGAGTTATTAGTTAACTTGTTTGACATGTTGGTTTCTTTATTCCTTTTTTTTTTTTTTTTTGTATTTGATGTCCTCAGTAGAGAAAACTCTAAAAACACCTGAAACTGGGCCACGACATATTTTGTGTTTGGACATTGTTGAATGACCAATCCAGAGACTGCCAGCCTGATATCCAGAGATGTGGCCAAATCCTTCTACAGAAGAACAAAACAGGATTGTATTGCATCATGCTGCAGTATTATTTAAAGGACTGTATTAATTCTTCAACAGTTTAGAGCCTGTCTCTGATGTTCCATCCACTTAGCAGTAGGTGACAATGATGATGCAGTGTTACTACAGGAACAATGTCATCTGAGCATCATTTGAAACGCCTATATAGAAAGGCCAAAGCAAAAAGTAGAAAGGGAAGGAAATCAAGCCATATTTTATGCGTGGAAATAGTCAAGTTCTGCAGAATTCTGTGGTCATATCTCCTCCCTTTCCTCTCTTGCTTCACTCTGCCTGTTTTCCTTGGTAATATCAGATGGTTCCTTACCTTCAGCAGTTTCATGAGGCCTTCTAACTGAACCATAAGCTCCCTCCGGCTTTCCTGGAGAGCAGACATCCTTTGTTCCAGCTCATCCTTCCGCTGTCTAAGAAACAAGCAGATCTGATCAGAGCTTACGCCTCACAGTGTCAGCAGCTTTTAACTGCATTGTTTTCCCAGCCAGACTATGAGGTAGATGCCTATAGACTGCAGGAAAGCAAACACACTGTATTAATTCAGCATAGTGCTTAGGAACGGGGCTACATGAAAGCTAGGGAGTTCCCTCATACTGAGAATATTCATGGGACTGAATATAGTGATTAGGGAAAAGACAGACACTTGACAGACCCTTTTCTAAAGAACAAATGAGGTTCAAACAAATTTCTGTTATATCCCTTGTGGGAATGCCTGGCAATTTTTGTCTTTGGATCTCTCTAGTCAATAATCTCACTAGCTGTCAGGAGAAATTAAAGCCATGCCCTGAAGGACAGGAATTACAGCAGGGGCACGGAACAGAGTGAGATGTAAGAGAAGCTAAGAGTTCAGAAATTCAGTCAGAAAACTACAGTGATCTAGTTTTTTTTTCTTTTTTTTTTTTTTGTTTGTTTGTTTGTTTGTTTTTTTTCCTGAAAGCAAGAGTAAGACTATCACACAGCTGAGATATAACTGCTTGAAAATAGCTCTTTGGACTCGGATTCCAGAGCAGGTCCTGCGTCTATGAATACTGAGCCACTCCAGGAGTGACAGCCTGTTTGTGCCCACAGAAATGGGAACAGTTTTGACTCTGCAGAGCTCCACTGGACAGGACAGGGGTTCAGCACTTGCACATGTTCAAGCACTAAACTGTGAGAGGTCCCCACATAAATACAAAATAAAATTATGGCCTCCTGGAAGCTATGATGTAATTAACAACATTACTGTTGAAAAATACACATATAAAGTATATTTTATATACTACTGTATTACAAATAACATAAAACCACTGTTAGCCTTGTACTATCTCTAAAATATGACAATTTAATCCTAAATAGAAAGAATCAACAAGGCTAAATTTCCTATATTTAGGGAAATATGAAACCCTGATTTTCAGCCTTCTCTGTAAGTAAGCAGTTACTGATATAAGCAATATTGATTTCTACACATTTACTCATGTGTGCTCTCACCTATATAACACGATCAAATAATAACACTGCCAGGTTGTATTTATGCTTCTGGAGGATTAATCTATTTTCTGCTATTTTCTGGGCATGTATGTAAAGGTTGGAAATGCTTTGAAATGTACAAAGGCAACTGAATTTAAGAAACTGCTAATAAAAATAACATATCCTATCCATGTAATTCAAAGTGGCAGGTCCTAGCACAGACCTTGCTGGGTTTTAGATTCATTCTACAGGAAAGAGCATCTAAGCAGCATGTGATGTACAGACTGCTCCTCTGACTTTTTTCTCCAGTTGTACTCCAGAGCAAGTTCTTGGAAGTAACGGGCTTTCCAAGCTGTCTTCAAGACAGGACTGGTAATGTGAAGGAATGCTGTGTTCAGAACCTCGTTTCAGCGAGCCTGCAACACTACAGCAGCTAGTGAAAGACTCTGAGACAGGTACCCACAATGTAATTTACAGATTCCAGCATTTCTTAATATTATATAAACTAAATTGCCCTACTACCCTAATTGCTTCAAGCCCCAAAAATCTATGGGGTAACAGATGTACATCAGTGCTGCTCTTCTGAGTTCTGCTGTTTTACACATGATAAGAACAGCCTCGTGACATCTCACATGTCTAGGAATTTGAGGTGGATCTAAATTCCACAGTATGTCAGAAGCCAAACTTCTGCCTTTCTAATGGTGAACATTTTAGAAGGTATGCAAAGCAGTATAGACTCACAGATTAAAAGTTATTTTCTGACTCTGACACTGCATATTAAATCAGAAAAGATATCATAATTGAGGAACTTGGTATCACTGCCTTAGGGACATCCTATGTCAGGAAATTCAAATAAGGATATTATGGTTTTAATATGTGTAGCAAAATTGAAAAGAGGGAAAAATTAAGTAGTCAGTCCACTAACACTGCACAATCATTTGATTTTTTTTTCAAAAGGATAATGAATTTTATTTGTCAACTACATAGAAATCTAATCTCCTAAACCTGCTTAAAACAGACTTCAGGCTTGATGCACAGGAGCTACATTATTGGTATATATTATGCAGTGTACACTTTTTCATCACAGTCAGTTTTGTATGTCTCACAGAACATCGCTTGCCTGTATATAGCTAGAAGTAGTTACATACTAAAATCGCTCACAGAAATGAAGAAGCTAATTTGTCTTCAGATTGGAAAGCAAATGTAGCTGTTTATGAAACAGGAAAATATTTTAGTGTGGAAAACTCAATAATAAAACTATACAGTATTTGCAAAGAAAAAAATTAGCACAATTTCTTACAGTAATTTCCTTTGGTTATAAATCAGACCACTAAAATATTACTTGTGTGAGGAGCGGCTAAGCGGCCAAAAATGGTCTTTAGTCTTCTCATGGGAGAATTGCTCTATGCAGGGGGATAAAATTTAATCTAGCATTGTTTCACTAAAAAGAAAGTGTTTACAGTCTATTCATATGAAGTGTTTTGAATAGTTCTTATTGGATTCTCTGTCTGGCTCTCATAACATGAACTTCAGGACTTGCTGGGAGCCTATGGATCTGGGCCAATGACAACTGTACTTCTTCAATGTGATAAACGTGGCAATTAGTAAATCCATGTAGAGTAGCTTTATTAACATGCAGACACATCCATATCAATGTTTTTAGCTTGGTGGGATAATTGAAGAAATGATCCTCTAAATCTTCAGCTGCTACAGATGACATTACTCCTCACTTCCCATGTGAGAAGGAGGATCACTCTGCAGCCTGGTTTTGCACTGTGAAGAGAACTAACCTCTCCTTAAGAGTTCAACACGTGGGGGACATTTCCAAAAATTAACGCCTAATTCTGGCTGTATTTTCATGTAGCTCTGTATTTATGTTAGCATAAAAGACAAGTCTTTGTAGAAGCATTTGTTCTGACACAACGATATTTTTCCACATATAATTAATGGCATTTGGACAGGGCTGTGGGGACCTATTCCAAATGACCTAAGGGCTTAACTCTGCAAACACTAATGCACATGCTTAATTTAATGTAGATGAGTAATATGTGAGATTCCTCATGCATGCTGTTTAAAGCATAAGCTTAATTACTTCTAGGACTACAGCCTGCACCAAAAGTGGAGAAAAAATACACATTGTGTTATTTACATAAAAAAGCCCCAAACCCATAACCCAGGCTTATCTCTTACTTCTCTTATTGAGAATGACTGGCTGGCCTCAGTCATGGCTGGAGGTTTTACTGCTGTGGACTTACCTCAGGAGCCGGAGCTCTGCAAGGAGAGTGGGATTTTGTTGTGCCTTCTCCGGTGTGGGCTGAGACGCTTGCTCATGTTCAAGTCGCAGCCTCTGGATCTCCTGTAGGATTTCTCTTGGGAAGGAAAATAAGCAGAAGACTACAAGTCAGTAATTTTCCACAAAACTAGCCCACTGGTCATTGCAAGAGGAGAAAAAGTATGATTGTATGTAGCTCTTCATCAGTGCAGATATAATGACTGGGCTCCACCAACAAAAGAAGCCCTCAGCAACAGCAGAGGGCTCTGGATATTTTTGAAATAAACTTTTAGGATTTCACGAGAAATATTTCTTCAAGACCACCAAAAATCAGGGGTAGACATGAAATAGTTCTATGATTAATTAAATTGTTCTCTTCTAATTCTTCCCCATGAATATTTCAAGCCCCACATGAACTTAACAAAAATTAAAATAACATATCTATCTGGCCCTTCTTGAGAATCAGAGAAAATATGTAGCTCTTAAAAAATACTTTAAGTGTAAGTAGAGATGTGAGAGTGGTCAACAATTCATGGAGAAGCACTTTAACAGGACTTGTTACGACTGGCTCTCCAGCCCTGGAGTGCTGTCGAAAGACTAATACAAAGCTCCGCAGCAGAAGGTTGAAACCTTTGTGCATTTTGTCTCTTTGCAATGTGCTGGATAGCAGACGGTCAGAAGGCAGCCTCAAACTATGAAAGACGAATCGAGACTGGAGCTGGTGGCTCATTACACGGTGACAGAAGGCAGTGCAGGGTTTGGAATAGGAAACCATCTGGTCTGGGCTGGACTCTATTTTACAGTCCAGCAGTAAAAACAGAGTTCTGCTGCCATACATTTCATGGCATCAGGCAGTCTGATACCCAGGGCCAGATCCTCTGCTGCTAACAAACAGGCATCTCTCCTTTTTTGGGGCTGGCTGGCCTATTTCTCCTGGATACTCTCTCTCAGTCTCGGTCACATCCATACCTAGTGCCTCATTTGATCAGCAGCCTAACTTGCTGCTAACCTTTCTGCAAACCTTTCCCAGGCAGACGGTGTTCTGGGGAGCTTTAATCATCTTTTTCACAAATAAAAGCAGGGGAGCATAACATTACCAGTGTGACTGATCTTTTTATCATTTCATGTTATAGTGCTACAGAAGATCCAATTCACAGTTAATCTGGGTTTGAAACAGGACAGGCTTTTATGTTTTTTTAGCTCTTAACAAACAGCAGATGCAAATAGTAAAGTATCAATGATTATAACACGTCATTGAATAGTACGCTCATTAAAACACAGGGTGGCTATGCGTTTCAAAGCCTTTGTCACATTCTGTGGACCTTTTAGTGTCCTGTGCTTTATCTCAGGGGAGGTGTATGTGCACGTCTAAGCACATTACACAGAAGTAGGTGGTAAAAAATGTTAAGAAACAAACAAATATATACAATATATGGGATTGAACAAAACCAGGTATTTTGTGGATGCTTACCGGTTTTTATTTTCAAGCTCTGCTATCAGCTGCCTTTGTTGCTTGTTTGCATCAATGGTGAAGGAGATATCTGATGCCCCTCTCTGCTGACCCTGCTGCTGTTGTAAAAACAAGAAGGCTGCATTGAAGGAGGAATAGCCAGCATGTACCCATGATTTCAACACAGATCTGTTCTGTGAAATCTCCTTTCAGAAAATGCAGTACCAGGCTTGCCTACACTAAAAAAAGAGCATCCATGTTGTGCTCATACCAATATGGCTCCATTTCTAGTAAAAGCAGGGTAAGTGCTAGAGTAAATAAGACTCAGTGTTTACCATCCTGTCATTCATTGCTTCTTCTAGGACCTTCCTCTGAACCAATCATAAAAGGCAACGGCACTGCTGCAGGCAGTTGCTGTAATATGGCTCTTAATTTTGATACTACAGACAACTACATACACTGAAGCAAAAACCTGTGTCTCTCTCCAAAAAGAAGGGGATGTGTTTCCAGTGCAGTGACGCTTTGTTTTCTTGAAAGTACAGTTTTACTTTTAGTTTGAAAGCTGTACTGAGCTTTTAGTCTGGCTGTGTGGCCCATTTGGCCACATTTTCCTATACACTCTGATGATATTTCAGAAAAACTCTTTCCCCAGTCCTTCTGGTACAGTAGAACCCTTTTTTCCCCAATAAAATGAAGTGGGAATTAAACTATTTCTTACCAAACTAGGCAGTGCTCACTACAGCTTCATTGGACTATGCTCTTTTTTCATGTTCATCAGCAATAACCAAATACTGTTTTCCTTGTTCACACTCCTGTATTTCAGTATTGTATCAATGACAACGCAGAGCAAGACATTTAAAGTTTCACAGCTATCAAAGATATCCATTTATTTCTAACTCCAACCTGAAAGAATCAAACATTAAAAAATACTCTGCTGAGTTACTGCTGTGATCTGAGTGTTTCTCACCATAAAAGCCCTGTGAAATGTAACTCTGCAGCCCCATTTTATGTGATGGCAGGCACCTCCTCCTCCAGGAGGTGGACCCTCAAAAAGGATGAAGATACATCTCGGTGCTAACCTTTGTCAGCACTGTCTGTGGGGAAAGGACAGTACGTTATGCCTGTAACCATTTATGTTTTTTCTGCTACCAGTACATTTTCCCATTAACACTCCAACCACAGGGGAGCAGAGCAGTGCATAAAGAAGAACTGATACACATCAGTGGATGTCACAACTGATATAGGTGGAACCAGGATCTTTATCCTGGATGCCCAGTGTTATTAATCTATTTTGTTCCTTGCAAAACAGAACAATCATCAGCAAAGCTTTCAGAATTTCCACTGTATACCCAATGTGGTGCCACTCTTGTGCTCGGAGAGGTTTCTGTATACAGAACCTTCTGTCTCTTGTTCAAAGAACACAAATGGATGGCAATGAGAAATTCAGTATTTTCCTTCAAAACAGCTCTATTTAAATGTTGTTTCCTAAGTTTCCCCCCATATTATGAACACATGCTATAAACAACTGATTTCTACCAGTTTCTACCCAGAGACATTATTAATGGGAAATCTTGTTCCCATAAAGAATTATCATCCTTCAGAAACAAGACCATCACCTACAGGTTGCCTTACATTTGAAACACTGTGTGTCATGCCTCTGGAAGGGATTGATTTGGACTGGGCTGGCAGACCAGGAGGACCCTCTCTGCCCCTGCAGCTGCAGGTAGTGTGAAATCTTCCGTGACAGATGGTTTTCATTTAACCATCATTTATGGTCCCTTGTTCTATCAAATGTGCTGAGATGGAAAAAAAGTAACTAGGCTGACCTTATTTGTGCCATTTAAGATTTTATATACTTCGATTAGGTTCCTGCTTCATTCTGTCTTATTCCTGAATATAGTTAGTGAGGTTTTAGCCTGTCATCACCTTCTATCTTGGGATACATAGAGCAGAATAATCATTGCTCTGAAATGAAAATGGGAGCTGGGGCTAATGCAAGGGGTCATTACAGTCATCCTGCTGAAGATCATTCTTTAAAATCCTCAGCACTTAGGGCCCCAGTAGCCGTGATATTTGAACTAAAGAGTAAAATGGATTCACCACCCCATTTTTCCACTGCAGTAAATCATTAACCTTTAACCAAAGCTAGTCCAGACAATATTTTCTAGTCATTCCTGAGTTCAAGATGTCAAGATTCCTTTTGCTGTAATTGTTTAAATACCATTGCATTAGTATATAGATTATATGCATTAGTATGTGTACTCTTCAGTTTAAATGGACTGCATAGAAGTGTTATTACTAAAGCATAACAGTTTCTGATGAAAAGGATAGGGAAAAATAATCTATTAATCATTAAGACTGTCAGATGTAGTTTCCCTGATCTTGCCAAGCCCCTGGAACACAACAGAAGGAAAGTACCTTCCTTTAATTAAAACACTTACTGATGAAGAAGTTTCTGCTGCCAGCCTTGCTGCATACCTGGCGATCAGCTTATGTTCTTCATCCAGGCGACTTGCGCTGTCAAGCACGCTGTTCAGGGTTGGAGGGGAAGGAGGGAAGACACGTTAATACATGAGAAAAATGACCAGTGCTCTGTCACACTCTCCACTCACACCCCCTCACTGCAGAATTTAGAAGCAAAATGTTGCCAAATTAACAATGGCAGATGTTAACTGAGCAAAGGGGAGAAATGGAAGGGTGATTTCCCTGGAATGATCAGCTCTAGGGGTCAGACAGCACCTTCCCTTAGGGGGAAAACAGCAGCAGTCTGCAGACACCTGGCCAAGGCTGTGCAAGATGCAACTCATAGACTACTTTGTCCAAAGAGGGGTGAGGTGGTTAGGACCACCAGTCAGCATTTGTTTTTACTTCTCAGTTTAATCATATCACCTAGAAGAGTGATTATTTTTTGGAAAGTGGATTAGCAGGAACCTCTGTGTTTGTTTAGAAGCTTTGTCAGATTTACAACAGAAAACAATACCTAGGACAGTTCTGCAGGCCAGTTACCAAGGCCTCATGGACCACAGTTTGGAACCACTGATCTAGAAATTTATAATCAGACTTTCTCTTTTATTCTTGATTTCTTGATATTTGGGAGTAAGATTTCAGAGAATCTCATAATGGTGATCAGAGTTAGAACTGAACAGCAAATGCATCGAATTCCTTTAAAATATTGCAGCTTATTACTTGTGTACCACCTCTGATCCCAGACTTGGACTTACTTTAACTTAGAGCCAACTCCAGCTGCCAGGATGCAGCACCAACCATGAAGAGCTTTGGTCACATGTGCAGAATCTCCATGACAATTACTCAGAAAGTATATGAACTAAACAGTAAATATGCTGAATTCCTTTAAAATACTGTATCTTATAACTTTTTTTCCCCATAAGAATATCAAAGGCAAGTATTTCTCTCCTTAGATTGATCCTTTGCCAGCTGTCCTTATTTTAAATGGAGGCTACTATTTAGTCAGATGAGGAGGAAAAGGTGATATAGTAAGAAACGTTACTATTTCTAAACATTTAGAAGTTTGCCAAGAACCCTCAAAACTAATAAGCACACTAATAGAATGATAAAAAATGAAATCTAAAGAGGCCATACTTGACCCTGGATAATCACAGGTTTCAGAATCCTATATTGCATTACTCATATTATATACAAGAGAAAAAAATTGAAGCCCCTAAGTAGAGGTGAGAAGAATCCTTCGCTGTGTGGAATACAAGACAGCCTGCAGACTATCCCAGACAGAGGTAACTCTGACCTCTTTTCTTATCCCTTGGCAACTGTCTGATGTTTTGGCTGAAGGAGACAGGTACACACCTCCCCACACATGGGCTCTTCAGGGCATGCAACTGGTTGCTGGCAAATGAGCTTCATGTTTCAAAAAAGAGTGCAAAGTAAGGCTTATTTTGGGCATGGGAATCTTATTCTGATTTTTGCCAGAAATGATATGCTGAACTTGAAAAGCCTTCCAGATGGAAACTACACATGTGCAAAAAGTTCTATTTCTGAAGAATTGGCATCTTTAAAAGGAAAAGGAAATATTTCTCAAAAATTTCTGAGTGAGTTCATATCCCCAAATACCTCAGGGAACTACAGTGTGCATCTTTTGGTTGACTTGATTAAGTCCACTGTGATTTAGAAGTCATGTTTGAAAGATGAGGAGTGGTTGATATTAATTGATCATTAAACTAAAGCTGGGAGTCATGTGGATTTCTTATGGCTTGCTGAGGTAAGGGAAAAGAGACAAACATCATCTTTTTCTCCTTCTGACAATAACCTGTGAGACCACAAGCATGAAGTTCAGAAAAACAGTAAAGCCGTGAAAAGTTAGACACAGAGGTGTTCTGTGTAAGCTAAGCTTGTGCTGCAGACTACACATAAGACTACTACACATACCACTCTAAGGTGGTAGAAGAACACTGATTTTTTGGTTTTGGTTGTGTTCAATTAATTTTGTTATATACATAGCTTAAGTCTATGCTTACTCAGATTCTTGTGGGATAATTGATTTACTTGCTGAAGAGCTAAACGTGTTTTGCTAAATTTATACAGTTCTGCTTCTTGCCTACTCACGCTTACTGGCCTGATAAGTCATCCAGAGAAAGAAAGGGACAAGCAGCACTTGCAGACACAAACCAGGTAATTAGGGTTACTTTCATGACAGTGTAATTAATTTTTAATTTTTCCATAACGACGAGAACATCACATCCTAACAGATGGCTGTGAAAACAGCAAGCATTCAGTATCAACTCTCTTCTTTATAGAGATGTGCAACCACATTATCCACCCTGGAAAAATAATGGATTATGGTTTCACTTGTTGGTATAACACAATCTGCAATACAGTGCTGAGATGCGAGTTAACCCCTGAGACAATGATTTTATACTGAATGAAGCAAGCCACCGCAGCTTTTTGATTCTTACTTGCTGTTTAATGTCTTTGATATATATTTATGTGTAGGTGGATGCCATAAAATAGATGTAGCTGCGTGTCAAATTTGGTCTATGAATGCCACAAATCACTGGCCCCAAATCTTTGTAAATTGAATTTCAATGTCTGGGATAAATTTAGTTCTGGAATGTACCCATTCTATGTGATCATTAAACAGAGAGGTAGGCATAGTAGCATTAGCCTCAACTGACAAGACTTTTATGTCTCAGAGTTCTGATTTGCCATAATTCACTTCTGTTTTACTTCAGCAACTTCATGGACAATGATACAGTGAAATACACACAAGCTTTAAAATATTAGTGATATGTGTGCAGAATTTGGGACCCTCAAGAGAATGATTCAGGCATCATTTTGAAAGAAACTGAACATTCTGCATACAAATGTCCTGCTGCTGATCCTTCTTTTCTAAAAATGTTAAACAACACTTTTTAACACTGCTTCTCCATTAGTGACCATTTGTTTAAAGACTTTACAATTATTATATGCTATTTATAATAGCAATAATTGGTCTGGCAGAATTATCATCATTCAGATGTAGAGTGAATATCCAAAATTATTGCCTGTATAATAGAACTCCTTTTTTAGGCTTTAGTTGATCTATGTAATATTCTACAGTCTAAGGGAGACACATTAAAAAAAAGGATCTCAAACCTGCAGGCAAAGGATGAAAAATCTGATAGTCTGCGAACAAAGGAGTGACACTGGAGGATCTTTGCTATTTGTCAGGCTTTAGACGTGTCAAATCAGCCTGTTCTGCAGTAGGCACCCTGCTGTAGGTGATACGGATATCCTCTGATGGTCTTAAAATTGTGTCACCACTGGTTAGAAAAGTCTCAGAAATGTCATTCTCTTGTGAAATTTTGCAGTAGAGGTATCAGTGTGGTCTTCATGACATGCTCTTATTCTACAAAACTTAATAAATAATAAATAATTTACTATAGAAAATACTGACAAATCAAAGGGTAGGTTTCTAAGACTCAGGGCTGTAAGAACAGTATTCTAACAGCAACCCACCAAATGTATTCTGAGGATTGTTTTATCTGTGACACTTCCAAAACTGTCCTGCTTTTAGGGCACTTTAAACTGAGACACATCATCTGAGCCCTCTGCTATTGTTAATTTAATTTGCTATTTACTTTAGAATTACCAAGATTTTACCATCAAAATGTTAATAACACTCAGGTACATGGGTATAATCATAAAAAATAACTGTTCAAGAGAGCCAAGTGTCTATACATTTCCTCTATAATCAGTGGGTCTCTGAATGCCTTTCCCCTTTCAAAGGAAGATTAGACCAGCCTTCCTAGCTAGTTAGTTGTGCACACCCTCTTAACAAACATTTTAAAAAATACCATAGAATAGCATGGCACTTTTATAGTACAGAAATATGACTCACCACAGAGTATAACATAAAATCAGAAAATAACTTTCTATGGAACAAAAATAACCTCCTATTTATATTTTGTCTTATTTCCTCTGCACCTGAAAAGAAAAAGACTGAAATATATGGAATTAATATTCAAAACTAGGTAAAGACTCTAACTTATATGAACAAAAAGGAAAACTATCTGCAGTTAAAAGTTCTTTTTTAGAATCAGACACTAAAGATGAACTAAATTAAGTATTAAGTATTGGTTTTACATGCTAAAGCACACTTATGATTAAATTAACCAAAGCATCTGGCTAAGGGATACTTTTTCTACCCATACAGTTACTATAAATAATGAATTAAGTTTTTCTCTTGTTTCTTAATTTGGCCTGTAGTGCTGGATTCTAAAAAACTCTCAAGTAGCTTATTAGCCTGTGAGGGATGGAAAGGAAAACTTGTACTACTAGTTGTGGTATCAAGTAACTGCAGATGAAAAAAAAAAGATAAGCAGTGCAAATTAATTAAATAATCCCCCAAATATAAATACTAGCCTTAAAACACACAAAAAAGACATACTAGGCTATATAGGACTGATCATTAGCTACTATAAATTAGTCTAAGTATCTAATAAACCCACTCGTTTTGTTTTGAAATGCTACTATATAGCTCTTCAGATAATTTTATGTATTATGCTCACAAAATATTTATGTAGGTTTTTCTTGCAGATGAAGGTCCAGCTACAATCATTCCTCTTTTCATCTTTAGCTGCCAGTAGCACTTGAAAATATGTGATGGCATGTATGGGTATGTACACATGGTATTTAGCAGGCAGATACAATAGTTGAGCTGGCTAGCTGTGGACTCCTCTAAATCACAAGATACCTGATTATGCTTAACTACATGCTTTACTAAGGTTACCAAATCTTGTTAAACTGCAGGGTAAAATAACTTGAACTCAGTGGGATCCTAGCACAGTTGTGTGGGTTTTAAGCAAATTCATCCAGCCACTTTGGGGTGTGGGCAAAAGGAGTTCACACCTTTACCTTGAAGATGCCACCCCAGGCTATATGAGATGCAGCAGCTGAGCCTCCTGCAGAGGCCTCACCTACCTCATCTGGCAACTGGATTCACACAGGAGCTTCAGGATGGCAACACTTTGTTGTTCTTGTCTTTACCAAAATACAACTATTCCCTTTCCCTGATAGCAGTCTCATTGAAACAAAGCAGAAAATGGCAATGCAGCACAGTTTGATGCATGACTAAGACTGCTGTCCCTCTTGGTTATGTTTCTGTCAAAATCTAATTGGTATCTTATATAAATAACTGAGATTGTTTCTCACTGAGGATGCTGTGGCTGCAGTGATTTAATGTCAGTAATCAGACATTATGTACTACGCTTTGCATCGGTTATTTAAACAATTTAGGCCATTATCACTCACACTCTATTCATCCCTCAAAAGCATTAAATCTGAAGGATGTTATGGCACATAATTTTTATGTGCATATTTGGATACAAACGTACTATGACTTGGTAAGGATGGCTCAAAGCCTTGAAGGAACAGGTTAGAATATATTGGATAAAATTTAGAGGATGAAGATGGTAAGGATGGGACTAGGCACTCACAAGGGGATCAACTGGTGGTCCTCACTGAAGCTAAATGAATCACAGATGTGGCATACAAAACTCCAAACGTGGCAAACCAGCCTAGCACCAAAAATTACTTCAAACCCATGTCCATTCTTTGCTCACTTCTTGATGAATTGTATCAATTAAGTCACTCATGGTAGGCAGGGCCTCATTTCCTTCTCTCTGTCAAACTAGACTGAGTGGTAGCATGCTCCTGTCCTCAATCATGGATTGGCAATGACTGGTCTACACACGTGCCCCCAGCAACTTGTTTTCACAGTGTAAATATTACTCAGTAAGTCTGCTTTCTGGAAGTGATACTCCAGGAATGAAATTCCCCTTCAAAATGTTTTATTTTGAAGAAATGGTTTTCATTTTCCTCACTAAAAACTTGTTTGCCTTTTTATTCCCTCACTGGCACATTCCAGTGGGCTACAGAGTAAAGAAGCAGATCCAGAACAATGAAGGGAGACTTTTTTTTTCCACTGGGCATGACAAATTACTCCCATTTTCAACTGGAGCTACTTACAGAAGTTAATTTTGTAAGACCGCAGAGAACCACTGCATCAAACTCTCCCAAATGAAGCTGCTTGTTGCCTTCTACATGTAAGAATAAATGGGGAGTTTCTCCTAACCTGGCAAATATTCTGTAGTAGCAGTACAAGAGACCAAAAGGTTCATGATGAGCAAAAGAAACCTCATGAGCATAGTTTTGTTAGAAACACTGTACAGACTTCTGCTCAGCGCCGCATTGTCTAGGGCCATATACTACACTGCTCACCATCACCTTGCTGGTACAGAGCTGCAAAGTCTAGAGTTTTGTTGTGCTTGGAGAGGTGAGCCAATGTTTCCCCTCCCTGGGGTAGCCTGCTGCAGTGCCATCATCCACAAGTGCTAGGACAGCAGGTGGGTTTAGGAGACAAAGCTCCATATTCACTCCAGCAGAAGCAATGAACTATGTTCAAGACAACCATTAAAAAACCTGTCATACCTGAGTCTGAATGAGATAAGTGCCAATTTATACACAAGATTCAAACAATGCAGAAATCAGGCAGATTTAAACACAATGCCTGACATATATTAAAATTGAAATTAACTCTTTTCTTCACTAGGTTAATAAGCAATTTCCCATTATTACTATTATAATTATTTACATACTATTACCATTTCTTACTTGCAAGGTAAGGTGAAGCTACAAATTACATACACCTCAAAAATTATTACCTTGAAAACCTGGACTTGTTAGTCATCATTGTATGAAAATTTCTGTACCACCACCAAGTCCTGCGCTGACTAGAGCACAGCATCTGAAATCAACTTTGTACAGCCATTCTTAACTAAGCAATTATTTGCTACTTAACATCACTAGAGGGAATAAGAGCAATTGCCACAATCCATCAACTTTGGGAGGACATACCCTGTTTTCATACACATTGCCTTTAGGTTAGTGCTCATAAAGAGCTGCTTCAGCTTGTAGCCAAGAGGAAACAGTGAGAGCATCTGGCCGACCAACGTCCCTTTCCTGGGTTCCCCAAAGGTGCCAAACCTGCACTAACCGTGCGGGGTTGCTCTGCAGCATGTTGACATACAACCCGATGAGTACATGTTCATCGGCCAGCCTGTCTGCAACATCGAGGCTGTACTGTAACCTGAAATGGGGTTGAGGGGAAAGAGGGTGCAGTCCGGACAGACAGAGGGAAATAAACAGAGAAAGCAGGAGCAAGTAAGATTGTGAAATGGGAATTTAGGAATGAATATTTAAGTGTTCTTAGAAGAAAAAAAAAACCAAAACCAAACAAAACAAGTGCAGAAATTATTTTGTTATTATTGTAATTTATATGTTAAGTATTTCATGGCTTAGGATGGTAGAATCCCGCTTGATTACACAGCCAGTCTCAGAGGTCAGTGAGAAGACAGACTGGGCCAGGGACTGGCGCTGTACAGTACCACTTATTTCAAAATACAGCAGATTGTGAGGTCAGCACTATTTAATATACTGTGTACTGCATATATACATTAAATATACATATGTTACACACATGATTAACATACTATAAATCACAAGCTGGATTTGTTTAGAAGTGTCTGATCAAGACCTCACTCATTCAGGTGTACATAAAAATACTTAAAACACACCCTACTAAGCTCACTGGGTTAATTGGTTATCAGAGTTTTCTCAGGAAAGACATTTATAGAATATATTAAATGCAGGAGGAATAGAGGAAAAGGTTTTGGTTTAGCTGTGTTAGTGCAAGCTACAAACATACTCTCTCTTTAACTTACCCTTTTCCTTTCAAGAAAGCTGGAGCAGCCCTAGCCAGAAGTTTGCTCTGCTCTACTTCAGTATTCTTGGAAGGAGAGCTAGTTAATAAGACAGGAAAACTAAGAAAAGGGTAAACAGTGATGTCTGAAATTCATTACAGAACAGGGTTTGGAGAAACTCATTCAAGCACCCTGAACTGAATAAAAATAGCAACAGAAATGTTAATGAAATTTTAGAAAACTTCGGGACATGCAAAGTCAGGAATCAAGTTTTCACTCCTGTTCTCCAAAAGCCTTCACTACAGATCCAGTGATGGAATACACCAGTTTAACCTCCAGAAGTACTATTCTGTTCATTTAAAAAAATATGTAGTTCACAAAACCCACTTTTTTTTCTCCAATTACAGTATTTAATGGATTGCAGTAACTGCATCTTTCCCAGTGCTTAAATACCTATGTTAATAAGATAACACTGGCTAAAAATGGAGAGATTGATATGACAGTTTTTCTTTCATGCTGCAGCATTTTTGGTTTAAAAAACAACAAAGCAAACCAAAAATATATTTTACTTTCTGCTTTTAAAAATTTGTTCACCTTTATTTTTTGGTTTAGCTACTGATACTGTAAATATCTTTGATTGAAAGATGGGTATGTGAGCATACATGCACCTGTGCATCCAGGGGTGTGTGTCTGTGTATACAGGCAGATGATGTTGCACAAATGTGATACCTGATGAATCCGAGCAGATGTGGCTCTAACAGACTGAAGATCAAAACCTTTAATATTAGGACAAAGAAGGAATCAGATGAGGTGCGTGTCATTCCCCTCCTTTTGGAAGGTAAAGGTTGGCAGCAAGGTTCTGAAAAGGCTGGTACCAAAGGGTGTCCTAAGAACCCAAGCCCTGTTGATTTATAATATATCTGGAAGATAGCTAAATGAAATGCTGTAAAAAAAAAAAAAAAAAAAAAAAAAAAAAGCTTGCTTCACATTTCTATGTCCATTAGCATGATACTTCTGTGTGTTGTGCTTTCACTGAAGTAATATCCACGCAGATAAACACGGTCCATGCAATTTAGAAGGATACGTTTTCCACCCATGTGTTCCTCCCAGTTACAGAAGGCAAACGCATTCAAGGGTGTGCCACTTCAGCCAAAAATGCAGCTTTAGGCTCTTAAAGATAAGTAAGTTGCCACAAGGGGACATCAGAGACCCTGGGGCAGATTTTGTGCTCTGCTTTCTAACAGTGCAGTGTGATGCCCCCTCTACCAACTGTAAATTCTCCTCTCCTATGTTGCAGAAGCAACATAGTTAGGGTGGAGGGACAGGCAAGCAAATGTTACACACTGAGCAATCGATACAATGTCTATCAATGGCCATCTTTCTTCCTTGATTAAGGAAACTTGTATCTTCTAACTATGAGTTGGAACATAACTTCCATGAGTTACTTCTAAGCTTTTCTGATGTTTGGGTGTCTCCTCTGGACTCTGTCATGCTGGTTAGCGTATTTGTCCCCATGCTGTTGCCCTGAACCTGGAGGTGCAGACCTCCAGGCAGATGTCTCCTCCTCCAGGGAATGAGTGTTAATAGCTTTCCACATGATGTCCCAGGGTCAGACAATCTAACAATCACATTGCTGACTTCAATTAGTTTGTGGTTCACTGCAACTACTAGGTCCTCTGTTAAAATATTTCTGTCCATCCAATTATGCTCCATCTTTTATTTGATTATTTGCTTCCTTGCTACAGCACTGTTCACTTGTAATTACTGAGTTTCCTCTAACTGATTCCAGATCATTTGGACATCAATTGCTATCACTGCAATTGAGCTCATTTTTTAATTTAGAAACTGCTCTCCAAGCACTCTTTCCCGTAACTATTTCAACCTTTGTACCATCTACAAATTGCATGCATTCACTCTATTGCTCCCACTAGGTCATTACAAGAAAGAGTGTGTAGTGTCTGACTTAAGATAGCCCTCAAGAATCCCACCTCGTATGTCCTCATCCTAGAATGACAGCAAACTTCTGAAAATGTAATTACTGATTTTCAAGGCTGCTCTTATACTAACTTCCCCTAGTCCATACTTCCTTTGTGTACCTCTGTGTCATCTGGGAGTATATCAAAAGTCCTTTTAACTGTATCGTATCTGTCGCTTCTTTTTTACCCACTGGACCAGTTATCCTGTCAATGAAATAAATTAGTTCGGTTTGACATAATTTGTTCTTGACAAATCCATGCTGGTTATTTCTCATGGTTTATTATCCTCCAGGTGCTTACTAATTCGTTCATAATTTCAATATCTTTGGATACCAAGGTTAGGCTGTCTCTTGTATAATCCCTTCAATCTTTGTCCCTGTTTCTGCCATCAACCTTCCTTCATTCAGAAGAGCTGATGTTCAACCTTCTTGCTCTTCCACATCTTCCTACATCCTCCACATAGTTCCCAAAATACAGCTAATACTTCAGAGATTGTTTTGGCCACACTGAGTTTCTCTGAGTCCTACCAACTGCAACAAGTATTTTAAAGATGTATTCCTGTTAAACAGAAACATTTTGTAAGATGTCAAAGAATGCTTCCCCATCCAAATTAAGAGACAAAGCCTCCAACTCTGAGCAGATGTCTACAAAGATGTAGACCTAACAGTATTGGTGTAAATGTTACACCCTCTTTAGTGGCTACTAAACAATAACATATAAACCTTTCCTTTAGCAGGTAGAATATTGCCAATGAAATAAGGAAGATTTTTATCTTGTTCTGAAAACAATATATGAAGGCAACATGCAGTTCAAGTCTACCACACTCCTTAGAGACAGAAGCATGGACCACAGCATGTTTTGCGCTGAAGTTAGCTGTTGTCCAGAAATTCTCCCTAATCTTTTGCTATGCCCAGGTAGAATATCGAATTCTTTTTTGCTTTTATGTGGAGTTCAAAAATGGCACCAGCTACTCTGACTCAGCATTAAATTAGACTCAATTTTTCCTTGGCTATAGGCATTTGATATCATAGTGCATTCTTTCTACCTACCACAGAATTGCCAAGTAATTTCCATTTCAGCAGAATGTGCTGCATCACTCCATTTATTTCAGTTTATTACTCCTTTAGAAAAACTAAATGTATTAGCTGTGAGGGGGAGCTGAGAAAAATGCAAGGCAAAACATCCTGTTTCATCTTACCCCAGTTTAGCCCTAGAATTTCATAGCTTAAAGAAGACATTTATTAAGAAAGAGAAATAGATTTTGTCCATTACTATGGTAGCTACAAACTTTAAGGCAGAACTGATAGACTGTAGCTTGGGAACAAAAAAATCTGAATAAGGAAAAAACCATTAATTCAGGGTATAGAGTTATTCCTCTTGACTGGACAGAAGTTTCTGTAATGCCTAATCTACCTGTTTTGACATAACATATCCAATTCATCGGGTTTGCAAGGCCATTACCTACTCTGCAGAATATTCCCTTGTACTGCTGCCCTCTAGGTAATCAGGCATCACAGAAACAAATATGAGATGAAAACCTGAATATTAGTTACTGTATAAAAGTTAGAGGACTTGTGGTTTTAATCACATATTAGCTGTCATCACAGTAAATGACTGTGATTCGGTATCTGGGAGATGATCACAGATTTTTTCTTTTCTAATATAAGTGCTTTAAAGTTGTTCTTGAGCTTTACAGAGCATATTGTTGTTATCAATTTGCACGCTGCATATATTGAGAAGAAAGGAGCTTGTAATTTTTATGCCAGACTCCTCGTGAAAACTCTCTTATGGACATAGTCGCTCAAACTAAGCAAAGCAAGCAGAGAAATTTTAAGGGATTTTGATTCTGAAGTGGTTTGAAGAAACTAAGGAAGCATCTCAGGGAAAGACTGAATTTCACCCCCTCTGAGCTTTGGAATAATTGCACACCCATTCAAAATCAATGCTTCAGACACAACTGAACTGCAAAGAACATAAAATGTTCAATCTCATTTCAGTTGTTCCCCACAATTTGTCTTTGTATTTACTAGTTATCAAAGACCTTTCCTCTAATGAGATTCTTCTTCTTCCTAGTTAATTTCCCTTTTTCATCCATGAGTCCTGAAATGAAGATGATATTGTGCTGAACTTATGAGACCATATCCATTTCCAGCATCAGAATGACTCGGTGTGCTGAATTCAGCATTTCCTGCTATAGGGAGAAACTGGTTGCAAATGGTTATGTTCTTATGTGAACACAACTAGCTGAAATAAATACCATGGGAATGCTACAAATGACAGTCTGTGCCAATTCTACTTTGCATAAACATTCTAATTACACAAAAACTTTCTTTAAAGCTATCTGAAACCTCTAGACTAGATTGCAACACAAATTAAAGTAACCATAAGTTATCTGCAGTGAAAATGCAGCCAGCAGAGCTTTTAGCACTGATTACATTGAGCTAGAAATTTTACCCTGAGTTTGTACAATTTTTATTATTATATGAATCACAGAGCATTTAATATATAATCAGCACAATTGCAAACAGAGCTGTCATAGCCTGTTCCTCTGATGTATGAGAGGATGAGCTTCCACTAATGAGGCCTGATTTTCCCAGGGCAATAATAATAGTAAAACCTAAAAGAATGAACGAAGATACTGTTATTAGTCTAATACAGATTGAAGAACTTGACATTTAGCAGAAAAGTACCTTGGTCTCAGTACTTTCTTACTGAATTATAGCTAATGCTCGTGGATTAATCAAAAAGAAAAAAAGGTCATTATACTCCACAGTAAAAAAAAATGGTGTAACTTTTCTTATCCACCTGCATATTTCTTTCATGCAGAATGAAAAAGGCTCTTCCTTGAGGTCACTAAGATGAGAGGGAATGATGGAAAAAGGGTGCAGCAACCAGAGGCATCAGGCCAAATTCAATGCTCACTATATAAATGGGAAGTCTTCATTAGTTTCAGTAGGATTTAGATCTATCTTTTCTGTGGTCATTTTGAAAAGCAAAGCAAAGGGGTCTGGGGAAGGTTACTGGCAAGAGGCACTAACTGCAGAACAGTAACCACCAGCACTGAGAGCCATGGAAGAAGATGAGGAGGCTGGCTGGGATACCTGGAGTTATTTCCAGGCTCTTGTGTGAGCCTCTTTGTTCCTTGGTCAGGAATGCATCAGGCAAGTCATACGCTGATGATGAAACCATAAAGGTGTATTTTTTTTGTTTTCAAAAACAATGTTCCCAACTTCCTCTAGATACATTAATATTAATACTACGTGGAAGGGTAAAATGAAAGATTTGTACTGTGCAGAAGCAGGAGAAGTTGGCAAAGCTCACAGCCAGCAGGAAGTCTATTCAAAAGACTAATCAGAGCCAGAGAAACCCTCTAGCCCACCAGAGCCTTCCTTAAAAAGTATCTTTAGTAGTTTAGCAGAATTGCTAATGATTTAGTGCATGAGCTACAGAACTACTGCGATTAGTGGTTAGTGCTCTCATACTGACCGTGAATTGTTGTGAAGCTGATTTACATATAGCCTTATAAGAGAATGCTCATCAGCCACAGGACTGGCTGCATTTATACCCCCAAGTAACCTGAATGATTCAAACAATGAAAGCTTGTTAATACCCCAAAAAGTACACACAGAGACCAGCGTGTTCAGAGTGGGTTCATGACAATAAATGCAATTTGTAACTATTTAGAAAGAATACTGATGTGACAGCTGGTAGGATGCTTTATTTTTTGATTTAAAATGTGCACATTAAATCTTTAAGAGTAGAAAATAAAAATAATAAGCTGTCAAACACTTAAAAATCCTGCTAGATCGCTGAAACAAAAGTTACAATAGCTTTGAAGCAATTACACTGCTTGTATATTAACATAACAGGATACTGTTAACTAAAAAAGCCAGAACTGTCTGCTGTATCATGGACTCTTTTTGCTGTGTAAGGATGTCACACTTATAAGGAAGTCTGGGTACCAATAGCTGTGGGATTTTTATTGTCTCCTTCCTTCAGGGGATTCTCTCTCCATCAAGGAGTTCTTCCTCTAGATGAAAGGAATTCTAATGGCTCAGGGATCATATAAGTTTAATCCTGATAGTTGAAGACAGACAGCTGAATTACTAAAGAACATAAAATAATCAGGATTTCTTCACATGTAAAGAAAAACAAGTAGCACAGTAGATAGTGCTGTGATTATTACTGCAGGTCCCTGGCCTAAATGGCAAAGCATCCTACTTTTGTTGAATTAGCACAGGGACTTCTTGGTGATAAACAGAAGCAACAGCTATGCTTTTAAAGAGCATTGTTCTTAATGACCTGTCATTGGGAGGCCACAAATAGATTATCCTGCCTTGCCCCGGCACATACAATTCCATATACTCCAACAATAGAAATGAGTATGTGTTTGCAGTCTCACTGTCTGTACAGGCAGCAGGATCTGGTCTCAGGGGCTGCTTTGGGGCTGGCTTTCAAAAAGCATCTCAGTCACACCCAGTAGCTACTTGCACTAAGATAACACTGACAGCTTACAGTTTATAGCTCCTGGTAGCAAAGTACATAAATCAAAGTAGTAGTAAACCATATTTACTCTGTCACTGCAGTGTGGTACACTGTGGATTTGGTTTTGGTGTTAAAAAATGTAGCCATGCATACTCAGAGATTGTGTTTGGTTATCCAGGAACACTGAAGCATTGACACATACATTAGGAACCAAGCACAAAAATGGACGCAAGAAAGACATATCACTTATCTTTCCCAGTAAAGCGGGAAGTTATTTTTCTGCCGCTTTCTCATCTATGTGCATTGGGAGGCTTACGCAGATTGGGTGAAACAGCTAGCAAATGCTACACACATATAATGGAGCCAAAAGGTATATGCAGCTGCAAGCACCTTCTCTTTGGGATTAATGTTACTAACTACTCTTTTCAGGTTTGTTTGCTGAAGGGTCACCATATGCCAAGACTACTCTTTCTTTCTTGTAGCCTTTAATGAAAATCTGGATAGTTTAACAGGAGTAAGGATGTTTTGCTATGTCTTGCAAGTATGAGCACATTTTCTCTTTGTTCATATAGTTTCTTGCAGTATGATGCAGGCATTCCCGAAGGCAATGGCAAGTCCCAGTTTCTATTCCCACAGTGCTGCTACAAAACGGCTTCTTACCAACAGCCCATTTTCAGGTTGCATGTGAACACGTTTAGCAGGACATAATGGTTCAAATGAGAACCAAAGTTCTGTGCTCTGTTGTGAGGAGCTTGTGGTGCCCTAACTCCAGCTCTCCATCCAGATATCTTGGTATCAATCGAAAATAACCAAGGCATTTCTCTGCTCGTGTCTTAATTTTATTCTGGGTTTGTATTTTCTGGGGGAATTGAAAACTGAACCCTCCACCACTCTAATATAATGGTTTAACATAAATTTGGATAACAACTCACCTTCTGTTTGCAAAAGGACTTCCTGAGGGAACGGAGTGGGAGAAGAGTGTGTCATTCATGCTGGTTACAGGTCGAGGGGGCCTAGAAAGCGGCAAAATATCCAGTTGCATTAATTTTGCACAAAAGAAAACAAATCAGCAACAGTATTTCAAGAGAATTAAATTAGCTTCTTGTTAAAGTAATATTACTACTAGCATCTTCTGCTTTAAGTAGCAATAGTTCCAAATCAAAGATGCTGTGTTTTTAACCAGAAGTTGATAAAAACACGTTGCTACTTAGGCCTGGAAAGAAATAATACTTTTGTGTGTGCTGAGGTGAGTCTTTAGCAACTTGCTTGATTTTCTTCTTGCTTTGGCAAAATAACTGCTATGCCATTTTTTTCTTTCCAGAACCTGTAGCCTACAGTGCAGTTGTTGCTTTCAACCAGCTATGCTGAGCACTGGCAGCAGGTTCACTGTGGCAGCATGGAGGTCTGCAGGGGGTAACTGCCAATAAATTACACATCTTTTCATGAGGTTATCCCTGGCACTAAGCTCCATGCTACCATATTTACATAGTGACCCATAGCCCTCAGTGTCCCATAAAATGCATGTAGAACTAAACTGATTTAACTGCAAAGCTTTTCAACTGGTACATCAAACCTCCAAATAAAAATTTAAAGTAAGTATCCAGTTTAAGAGGATCCATTAATAACAATGGTTTTATTATTACATTCTTTATTTCCTGCTCTCACTAAAAATGAAATGAGAAGGAATATTTCCTCTGCTTTTATTGTCTACTCTTAAAAAATATTTTGTGCATAGTTTTTTCTTCTGTATTCATTAAGGAGAAATTTCCCCTTTTTAATGGACTTCTTATGCAACACTGGGCAAAAGATATAGACTCTCTGGAAAAACTAAAAAATAGTCATTAAAATCACAGGGTTTTTAACCAGATATGAGCAGAACCTGAAGCCATATATAATTCAGACTTTAAATTGTCCAGATTTCAAATAGGTTAATATACCCTTTAAGGTCTGTGAAAAATCTGTCTTGCTTTCCGAATTCTGCAGATGTGCAAATCGAAATATAGTAGCCACCTGCAAAATACTCACTGGGCTCCAACTGTGCAAGACAACCGGTCATCGAAACCATTTGTAAGAAACGAAGAAAGCCAGTTCTGCACAGAAATGAACTATTACTGTATGTTCTCTTTCTTATTTTGTAACTGTTAGAGAACAAGAATAAATATGGGCTTTGACAAGTTCAAATTGATTTCTCAGCATGACAATACCACACTAATTTTAAGAAGTTTAAAAATGGGAACGGAAATATGTAGGACTTGGCATGTTTTTTATTTATATGAAAATATAATTTTAGCTTAACCCTGCATCTGTAGACTCACACTCAAGTTCTGATCAGTCATGAATTTGAGAAGCAGCACTTGTTGCCCTATGTACTTATGGAGAAGTGTTTAATATTATTTTTCATGTACTCCATCAGAGGTAGGAAGAGCTTGGATGAGGCCATGATCAGAGCCAGTTCACTGGAAAGGTCTGTTGTGATATGAGTCTTCAAATACAGAGATTTGGAAATAAACTTTGAGAGAATATTCAGAAACTAATTTTATTTAATGGGTAATCAACTGGTATTTTGTAGCCTGAGAATTGTAAACTGATAATTGATGCAGGAGAAACAGTTCACACCAACTACATTTGACTACTGCATTTTTCTTTTTCTCTATGTAATCAGTGAACACATTCAAAAACTAATCTGGCACAGGCTGGGGTTTCTGAAAGATGGGTCCAACCCTGGGCTGTGGAGTTCTCAACAGCACAGGAGAGGGGAGGAGAGGCTGGTTACCAACAGTGTTCCAGAGGAGAAGGCAGGAAGAGTGCTCCCTTGCAGAGCTTGGGCTCTGCTTTGCCTTGTACCTAGTCTACCTCTGCTGACTGAGTAGGAAGTGGGTATCACAGAATCATCATCAAGGTTGGAAAAGACCTTGTAGATCATCCAGTCCAACCATTGATTGGGTATGTGGCACCCATGGATTTCAGCAGATCACCACATACACACTTCAGGTTAATGTCTTCTCTAATCTTCATCTCAAAACAGGGGTGGAAGAGAAAATCTCTAACTGCACAAAGAGCTCTTCCCTTTCACTCTCTCTGTATTCAAAGACAATTATTTATTTGGCTCTGGATTCTGATAAAAAGTTGAGGGTTGGTAATGATGAGATTACTGCATTTTTTCCAAGCTTCTTCCTCCAGTAAGTGTATTAAAGAAGAAAAATACTCACCAAGTATCTCTTTTGCAGCCAAAATGAAATGGAAAAGAGATCATTAATTAAACTGTCAGTTTATTATGAATGTGGTCTAAGTAGTGCATTGGACACACTCCATTCTTATGACCCTGATTCTGCACAAAGCATGAGAGTCTATATGCTTAAAAGGTCATTGATTTGTTTACATATGCAGAGTTACTCTTGTGTACAAATGTCTATGAACTCCAAGACTTTGCTAAGGTTTTGTGATTAGCATTAGTTTGTCAATTCTTACGTGAAGAAAGCTGTATTAAACTAATCTGAGCTTTCCCAAGGCAAGTTTCTTAAAGGCTGTCATATTCCTCAGGTTAGAGTTTGAATATCAAATGGATGTTCAAACACACATATACAGTTGTGTGATAAGACAAGAACAGCAGACTTCATGGTAAAGCAAAGGAAAACTCTTGACTATAAATGTGTACCCTTCTGAGGTTATTTCTAAACTTCTGGAAGTGAGTGATCAAGCTTTCTTAAAAAAGTGAGCTGATGATACTCAAACAACTTTCCTCGAGGATGTAGAAAACAATACTATTGAAATATGCTATGTAATAAATGCATGTTACGGCATAACACATATCCACAGTAATAAATCAGATTAAATAAGAGGAGTTTTCCAAGTGTTCCATGCTGGTCTAACCTCTTCACACTGATGTCAAAAATAATACTCCCACAGGCTTAGATGGAAACAAAGTCAGGCCAGTGAAGGATGCATTTGAAAAATACCTCCATGATGCACTGGCCATGCCATTTATAATCTCTGTAGTCTGGTGTTTCTTTTTTGTTGCCAATCTTATGTATAGAAAGGAAAAATGACCACTCCATCAGTGGGAGAGTTCCTCCATCGGGTTAATGATGCCTTGATAACTGCTTCTCTAGATGAGCCTTAGATGTGTTTTACTTAATTGAAAATTTTGTGTGGCACCACTAAACCAAAAAAACCCCAGGCAGTCTTTCTGTCTGGTACCACCCAAAGGTGGAATAACAGGAAAAAGCAAAGGCTGTCTAGTAATGCAGAGAGTACTTGTCCCCACTTAAGATAGAAGCTAAGAAAAGGATACTGTTTTGTTGCCAAAATTCTTCCATTTAATGCACACATAAAACTCTGTTTGCCTGGATTCCTGCCCAGAGCTGTTTCTCTCAACTTCCATTATGTTTAAAAATAAAAATCACATCAGTGAGAAGATATTCTCAATGAGGCACTGTAGCATATCTCTCCTCTCAGTTAATTTATGTGAGTTATGCTGTAGATCATGCTACCTCCACAACTTAAAGGTTTTTCACTCATGTATCATTATAGCCAATATATATTGCCATTATATTGCCTTCAGTCTACGAATAAAGAGAAACTCTATCATAAAACAAAATAGATGGTGGTTTGTTCTCACATCCAATCACTCTAAATTATGTCTGGATAGTTAGGAAGAAGGGAAGGTGTTAATTTCACAGCAAAGATTTGGAACAGATCCTACTCAATTATGGTACCTTTCCCTTGCCTTGCCTAAATGCATTTAATCTACTAACTGTAGCCCAGTTTTCACTACTCATGATCTTCTGACATACTCCCAGGCCTTTGAAGGCCCCAGCCAACAGGGAACAGAGGCTTGTTTCCCCTTCAGTTTCATGCTCCCTGTCTCTTTGCAATTGTCTTAAGGATAGCCAAAATCTGCCCCATGAAATGATTGCTTGCCAGAAGAGACAGGCTTTTATACCACACAGCAGTGCGGTAGCTCAGCAGATCCAACTCCAGATGACTTCTTCCAAAGAACGTCTTCCCATTACACCTCTATAAAGAGGTGCAGGGGTTTTAACTGACAGTTGAGTGTAACAGGGATTTGGCATTACGTATCTGTCAGAGGCACCATGTGTCTGAAGAGCAGAGAACTCTTTTACGCATTGAGAAAGTTCTGCTACAAACACACAAGGAGGACCATCAGCTTGATTTAGCCTTAAAATGTCAGGTAGGTTAGGTGAACTTTCCAGGTGTCGCACAGCCCACAGCCCTTAAAGATGCTACATACAAACACTCAGTACTGACAAAAGTAAGTAGGTATAATAATTACAGACTGGAATAGTTCCAGCAGCCAGAAATACAGATATGCAGCATGCAAATACAATTTTAATGGCTGCTGCCTGAAATGCTTCAGTCAGGCCCCCTGAGAAGATATTAAGAAATATATTTTCTTAAGAAATATATCCGAATGAGAGAAATACTTTAAAGACAGCATTTTTTAATAATTTTTCCAAGTTAATGTCTTTGTAACTTTCTTCCAATCAACGTCTTCATTCGTCCTGAATTCTATGGAAAATTTAACTTTTTTTTTTTTTTTTAAGGACCCAGGAAACAAAGGTAAAACAAACAGATGAGAAAATCTGAGCAACTGCCACTATGGGCAGCGAATGCACTTTAGAAAAAAAATTTCCCAAGTGGTAATTTCCCCACCCTGCACAAACGCATTTTCTTTCTGCTTTGAGCTTCTTGACTCCTGAACAGAAAAATTAGTGACACAAACTACTGTATCAAAAATAATTTTGCTTTCCCAAAACATCAAAACGTAAAGATAACAGAGTCCCTTCAAGTGACTTGGCAATTAAAGACACGCTTCTTATGCAGACTCATATAACTCTTCAGGGGTGGGCGAAGCCACAGCTCCATTAAAGTCAGTGAGAACTCTGACAATGATTTCAAAAAAAGTGGTTAGACTTCACTTTTCTCTGGCACCTCATGTCAAGACATACCTATGATACACTGAAGCTGAGAATTTCTAGACAACAAAACTGTTGTTCTTTTCATGAATACATCCCAAAGCGCTGAAACTCTATGAAATTGTATGAATATCTCTTGGGGAGAATGGGGGCATATCAACATTGTGTCCCAGTATTTGGTTATATGTACATATCCCACTGACTTTTCAAGTGAAGTCACACCAGAAGAACATTTTTAATACTAAATACCCCTATCAGCAAATTTGCACTTGTGATTCATTGAGCTCGACATGCCCCAGCTAACTCCTACTTTGTTCAGAGCTATAGTATCTACACTTGGTGTGAGCAACTCTTACAACAAAGCTTACTTTCTCTACAGCACACAGATACTTACACAATATGAGCCAGGTTTAGAGGTTTTTCAGGCTGGTCAGGGAACATTGGGTGCAAAGGTTCACGGCTGGAAGCACAGCTTAAAGACTTGCTAAGTGCATTAGTTAGCTTCTTAGCAGGTGATTTCTGGGAGGAACAAGGAAGGTAGAGGTAATCTGGACAAGTAAGGTGCATACTGTTTCTGCTATAGGAAGCACAAAACAACAGGAGGCTCTAGGGCTTGCACACCTATCAACTGACATCCCCCTTGCCTCCCTCCCACTCCAAGAGTCTGGTAAGGCAAAGACTGCTCAGTTTGGAGGAAAGATTACTCTTACCTTCAGGGGCCTTCAGAATAATGGGCTTGGGGGGTATATCTATATGGACAGATGCAATTGCCATGGCTGTTTTGCAATGCTGCACTCAGGTAGTACTGAATGAAGGACAGCACAAAGTTAAGCATCACCTGGACGGGAGCTGGCTCTATCTTGGAAGTGCAAGCAAAACAAACCCGTGTACGCCTGCCCCTATAGATACAATGTATGGGACACCGTCTCCTTCCTCACTGTGGGCCAGGACAAGGCTGCCATATTCTTTCTCCTCACTTGTATTTCCCTCAGCTCCAGCACCCTGTACTGTTTAGCTGCTGTTATAAAGCTCTTCTTTCACCTCCCACAGCCACTGCAGCACCTGCCACACTGGGGAATGGGAAATCTGAGACATGTGCATGGCAGGAATTGCCCCACCATGGTGACAGTGCACCAGAAGAGGCTGACCTATTGTCACTGTCACCAAAAGATGGGGAGGCTCACAACAAGAAACATGCTTTTCACCCTGAAATTCCATCAGCAAGTCTAAAAAAACCTCCCAGTATTTTCTGCTTTCTAGTTTTGTTTGGACACTCTTTGCAGCTGAACGTTTTTCTAAGGAAGGGCTCAGAGACCTAAGGACGTCTTTTAGGTTGTGTGAGAGATTCTCTGGGAATCCAACCCACCTCTCTGTGATTCAGCTTCTCTGCCAGTAAAGCAGGGGTGCTGGTCCTCACACTGTGCCCTCCCTCCAAAATACAGCTCTACATGCTGAAATTTAAAAATCTTTTTGGAACTTAACAGGAGTGGAATTGCATTTGTGCATACACATCCTGCATTGACTTATGACTGTAATCAAGATAATGAAATATTTCTATTACAGAAATCCAACCTAAATATGTAAAATTCAGGCTTTTTCTCTTTCATTATAAATGTGATTTCACTATGAATTGTGTTCCAGTGCACCCATGAACACCTTTAATCTGCATGTGGAGCTCAATATGGATGCCTTACGGAGAATACTAACTAGGTTTGAACAAATGCTAAAGAACGCTACAGAAAGGCAATTTCAAACTTGAAGCAAAACATTTGTTTCTGACAAGGAAACATTTGAAACCACTAGGCATGTAGTCACATTTTTGTCTTCCGCTGAGCAGAAATCTTAAGTTTTCCAATTACTTCCTACCTATAATTACAGCTCCCTGGTTACAGTGAAAAATGATTTTATAGCACAAATTGCCGTTAGGAATGGAGTCAGAGCTATGTAGTGGGCACTCTTCTATTCAGAGTCTAAACTCAAGCCATTCGTGTCTATGCAACAAGCAGCAATTAGGACCCACAAAAACAGTGGGATACAGTGCAGGGCTGTGTGACTGGCATACAGAGCAAACCATGTCAAATTTAACCCTTGCCTGCTCCATCAAAACATGCATTTTAAAAGTGTTAAGCTTCAGAACTTTGTTAAAAAATATACATAAAGCGCTGTACAAATGTGAGCTGTTGCTATATGCATAATTTTCTGTTTTTTTGGTAATAATATACTTTTTTGCAATATTTGAGGTTAGTTAGGATTTTCTGCTGGTCTCTGGATTTGAACCCTGAAGGACTGGGTTGCTTCACAATCAAGCTTTGCTCCAGTCCGCAGAGAGCTTAGCTCCCAGGTCTGATGCCCTTCAGAGAAGATTAAGGTAGCTCTTGATACTTTTCTTTCAGCTTACAGAAAGCATTGAATTATTTTGTTTAACAACAAAAAGATTCAAGTGTGTTTTTCTCTACAGTAAACACTATTGTGGATCTAAGCCTGTGATCACACTCAAATCTACCGTGCCAGGACTATCTGAAATGCTACACATATGCTGCAGCCACTAGACTGAAAATATTGATGAATGAGCATTAAGTATTCATAATTTCATTTACAAGTAGCCAAACAAAGCAAGCCAATGATGATTTTACCATGAGTCCTGTGGGAACAGGAGAAACTGCTGTGAGCCTGGTGCCCTGCTGCCAGCCCCTCCTGCCCTGCCCTCCCCGCGGCACGCACCGCCACAGGCGCCCCAGATCCTCACCCAGAAAAGACCATTCCCACCTCTGTACTCTCCTGACAGCTCCCAAGGCCGAAGCCTCCCTGACGGGGTCGCCAATCCGAACTAGCAGCCTGGCTCCTGGCCTCCCTGTGCCAGACAGCTGCCCGGAGATGAAGCCGGGGGCTTCTCCGCTGGCTGGAGGGCTAAGCAGTCTGCAGCAAGGCGCGAGTCTTCCCTTACCCATGACGTGTACTCTTTCATTTGGTGCTGGTTGCTGTGGGAACCGCTGGCATGGCCCCTCCAGAAGCAGTCCTGACAGAGCTGGTAATTGTGACACTGCTGGCAGCGGTAGCGAAACCCCATCATGCTCTCGCTGTGGCAGTAGGAACACTCGACAGGATGGAAGACTGCACAGGAGAGAAAAACGCTGAGCCATAAACCAAAGCAGAGAAACCCCCAGCAAAAGTTCACAAAGCCCCAAACTGAAGACCGAATCCCTTCTTTGTTTCTAGCAATCTGCAGCATCGGATGCTGCCTACAGCTCTGACCCGTGAAAACTCAAGTAGCCTCTCAGCAACCTGTGCTGATCCACAGGCAATGCTTCCTACACTGGGCACCAAATTCTTCATGACTTCTGAGCTGATTCCTGCACCTCCTGCTTGCCGCAGTGAAAGTGTGTTCAGTGTCTAACAAAATATATGGTAGAGGAAATTTTTAAGTGGGAAAATCCACTGCATTCTTCAGCTGCGTTACTGTGAGGATGATGAGACACTGGCACAGGTTGCCCAGAGAGGTTTTGGCTGCCCCCTCCATGGCAGTGTTCAAGGCCAGGCTGGATGAGGTTTTTGAGCAACCTGATCTACTGAAGGGTGTCCCTGTCCATGGCAGGGGGGTTGGAACTAGATGATCTTTAAGGTCCCCCCCAACTCAACCCACTCTATGATTCTATTCTATAATACCAGGGGAAGCTGAAAGTTTTGCTGTGCTGTGAGGATCTAAAGTGATGCATCTTGGACATAAAGACAAACTCAGCTGTCTGATTACTGGAAGCACAAAAGTGTACTTAGGCATGCTGTCTCTTCATTACTGCTGTCTCAACTGTCCAACTGGCATCGTTTAGGTACCTATATATGGAGTTGAACACTCTGAATCTGGCTTTCGATGCCCAGTTTTGGAAAGCTGGCCTTCGAAGAGACCTGTGTGGTTCTGTTCTCTGTTCCACTCAGAAGCAGACAGTAACAAGGATGCGAGTCGCTGAGCACGCTAAGGCTCTAACTGAGATTCTGAAGCCACTTCCTGGCAATAGCGCTACTTCTGTTCCTCTCTCCTTGCTACAGCATGTACCCCATTTACCATGGGGTACTAAACAGCTTGTTGTTCCCAGGCACCTTCTGCTTTTCAGTTGTAAGGTTCAGGCTGGGAGGATTCGGATCAGTGCTGAGTGTGTCAGGGTTTAATACCCTGCCAGAATTTCACAGCAAAAGGGTTAGTGCTCTAGGCTGGGAGAGTGCAAAGCTGGTAAGGGACAGAGACGGATGACAAGAGCTTGAGGAAGGTGAGGTAGATAGGTAGCTCTGTAGCCAAGAAGGATTCTGGAACTTCATCTTATGCACCTCGGTGCCTTTCAATGGAAGAAAGATTTATTTAGTACAAGAACACGTATGACTTCCTCCTTCTCCTTTTATCACCAAAAAATGGCTGCACACCGCCCCTTCCACCAGCCCCCTTTTTTTGATGGAAAATAGTATAAATATTTCTATTGCCTAGCAGGATGAGTATGTATGATCTTATCTTCCTCCTGCCACCCTCCCCTGGCTTCTTTTACCCTACAGCATCCCAAAGCTTCAGTTATGCTAGAGGTAAACCTTCAAGGGAGCAACAACACAAGAATACAATAAGCCCCTTACACAACAACCTCTAAGACAAAACACTGGGCTGTAAAATTGTTTTAAAAAAATCTATTTATCTTGTAAATTAATATTTTAAAATTTTTGTAAAAACTTCCTCCATTTTTAACTCTTCCTTTTCCTAGATTTAAAGTGTTGGATTAATAACTGTCAGTATCACTGCCTCCTGATGATCATGAGCAAGAAATGCCACATTATAAACAAGTACACCCAGATCATAAGACAGTAAAAAGGCATTTCTTGTCCCATGTTTTTTTTCTACTTAATACTAACAGTGCTAGTCCTTCTGGACAGCAGAAGCCAGCTGCATTGGAGCTGGGGAACTCCTCCAGATGGACAGAGTTTGTGGGCTGCAATTTGGTGGTGTATACAGTGAGATGAAATGCATGAGCTTTCTAGCTCTGCCCCTGCACTTTCTGTGTGGCCAGCACCTTCTACCTTCATATACTGTTTCTGTAGAAGGTTTGGTACATCTGTGAGTCTGTGAACTTTTCCCCAGGTGTTCAGTAAGTTGGAAGGCGGAGGAAGATGTTACTATCCAGGGACATGCAACATACACTGTGCAATAATCAAAAGAATTGATCTTCATGGTCCTTTCCTGTCTTAAAATGTGATCTACTCATTTTGGGGAAAGAGAACCCTTGAGGAGAAAAAGGCATCTCACAGTTAAATCCTCATCTTCCACACAAACAAAGGATAAGGATGAATCTGGAACTTCCTTTTCGGAGTATATTGCCTGGCAGTGTAGGTTTAGGAGATTCTTCATAAGGATCTTTTGGCCGGTATTTTGCACTGCACTGGACATCTCCTGCCAAGAATGCTGCATGAACGGAAAATGCCAAGCTGTTCCTTCTCTGCTGCCATATGTCATAGCTAATAAAAGTTGTGGCCTTGATAGTTTACCAAATAGAAGTGTGTGAATGGACCAAGTCCTGTTGCTCTTTGCTTACCCAGAGCACAGGAGGAGAGGAGATGATCAGGATAATATCCTGAGCATAGCAAAAATTAAGCCACATTCCTGGCCAAATGACCAACAGGATTCTTTAAATATTTTACCAGTGACTGTAAAAATAACACACGGAATCAACAAAGGCAGTACAGTAGCTCCTACAAAACCATTTTTTTACTTTTGTAACTGGCTTTTGGCAGAAGCTCTTACTTACCATTTTCAACATTTGCCAGTCGATGCAGAAGTGGTAACCACACCAGACACTGTGGCGGGGGATCAGACATGAGGGTATCCAAGAAAGTGTTTAATGTGACTTTTTTCTGCTCAAACAAGCAAACAAACATGCACAAAGAATCAGTAGTTAGACATATCAAAATGGTTTTATCCTGTCCTTACAGAAATGCTTGGGAGCAAGTTCCAGACACTGTTTCCTCGTAGCCCTGGTTTACTAAAAAGAACAAGTGATACTAGCAAAGCCTTTCCAGATTATTTTTAGTAGTTCCAATGTATACTACTGATGACTAGCAGTCCTTTTCACAAGGCTGGGTTAGAGACACCTAGCTCCCACTCACTTCAAGACTCTCTTCTAAAAGTCATTGCCTGAAGATGCTTTGTGAATAAGGTTGGCATTCAACTCTTCATGTTTTCATGTGTTTTGAGTACCCTATAATGAGTACAAATGCATGCAGGGTATCACTATGCATTACCAATTTTCACATGAAAACTCACTGCAAAGAATGACTGATGGTACTCCAACAAAGAAAATGAAAGAAAATAACAGGGGAGTATAATTTCAAAACATATATAAGGTAAGGACAGACTATCACAGGCAATTGTGCTACTATAATTTAAGAAACTATACTAGTCTGTTGAGTGATGGCAACTAATTATGGGTGAGCTCTGATTGTGGGTTGTTGTGTTTGCATACACTTGAAGACTACAACTGTTCCTAAACTCTCCACACCTGTAAGCTCTTAAAGATCTATTCCTCTTTATCTTTCAAAGCAATTTAAACTCGAAAATATCCCTGTTTATTTTAAAAATGTAATCTAGGGCATTATATTTCTAGGTGTCTGGAGAAAGTCCTCACAAATCCTAGTTCATTTGTTCTTTCAGACATGTAGGTGATATTTCAGCCTGAGATATCTCCATCAGAAATACATGCTCTTTCCTATGTAATATACTGGATACCTAAGTGAGTACTAAAGTACACACCTACTGGGTGGTCAAGGACAGAGAGTCCTTAAGAAATCAGCAACTAAGCCCTCCTTTAAAATAAAATTAAGATGCAAAAATATTGAGCCCTGTTGAGACTGGGTACAGATATAATTTGTAGACATACATATTTAAGTAGCATCCCCATATCCAAAGGGATTGCTAAATTTTCATATCTGATTGCATAAGCTACTGCTTTAACTTGCTAAAGAACTGTGGTTACCCCATGAGGAAGCAAAACAGCAGCTATGCAGTGACATGTATCATCTCTGTGTGTTGTGGAGTGCTTTTAAAAGCTGAGATTTCCAGATGGAGAGTCTGTGCTGCATTTATATACAACTGCCATCAGATGTGAAGAAAATAATTATTTCTGTTATACACTGAGTGATCAGTGGAAAACATCGTGCTCTGTAACAGTCTCAGGGCTGAAATATTGCAAGATATTGGGAAATCTATAAAGATATTTGTCCCTAGGAGAAGAGAAAATACTTCAGGCTAGTTGGGAAAATGGTCTTGGTTCTTTAATGAACAGAAACAGCCAGAATGTGAGCTCTAAATCTCACTGAAATACTATCTTTTCCCACAATACCTACAGTACGAAAGTCCAATCAAACAGCTACCACCTGCTTGTTTTATGAATGATCTTTCCACCCATGGAGAGTGGATAACCACTTCCCAAATAGGCATCCTATGTTATAAGCATCAGATCACAGAAAACAATCTTTCTCTTGGAGATCTGCTGTGGATGTTTGGCCTGGCTTTGATGACCAATGTCACCAGCAAATGTCTGTGCTGTCTGCAGCAGAAATGAGAGCAGGAGAAAAGGCAGAGTGAAGTTTTGGAAAAGAAAGGTCCTCCAGTGCCCCATACTGCAGAGCTGAGTAGGCTTAAGTCTTCCCTCTGCTCTTGAAGGCAGATAAGCTGGCAGCCGGTCTAAAGAAGCAAATGGATGGGGAGACAAGAACAACTCTTCCACAGTGTAGTAGGCTTTTGAATGCAGCTATAATTTAAAACCTGATTTGCACCAAATAAAGCAACTTAGCTTCACTGGCAGCTTTATGGCTGAACTCCTCTGGTGGTCACTGATTTTATGGATTAGAGAGAGCAGTGTCCCTTAAAAGGACACCAGCAGAGCAATTTCCATACATTTTAAAAGGCATATTTTTCTCCTGCATTTTTGTTTCATCTGCTGGGAAAGTTGAAACTGAAAGCTGTTTTCTAAATATATGATACATGCAGATGGCGTCTAGGTTTGTGGAATAACACTTAGCCAAGTGCTAAGAAAATGAAGTTAGTGTCTATCCTTTTAGTTTGGGATAAAAAAAGAGAAATAAAGTGTTTTTTATAATAGCAACACTTTTAAAAGTATAATATCATATGAATCCTACCTATGGTGGTGATAAAACTCCTTTTTGAGCCAGAGCTTTGTATTCTGAAATATTAAGTCACTCGCTCTGGTATTTCTGTTCCATAAATTTGCTGATGAGGAAACACTGTTGTTTCTATTTGAATAGCCATTCAATCTAGCAGTGGTTCACAGACAGAGGAAAATACATGGTTTGATCAAATAAACCAGTACAATGGGGAATAATAAAAACATTTCTGCAATAGGAAAAATCCTTTCAGATGCAAACTGAAATGGATTTGACACCATGAGCAGAAGATCATTCCCAGAATTTTTTTGTTTCTTGAAATTGACGAATCTATATATCAGGGAGCTGAAAGGCGTCTGGTAAGCAAAAGTCATCCAGACTGAGAACAACAGCGAGAGTGCCAAATTTATCCCAAGGCATCAACTTCTGATAATGCTAAGTGCAATATGAGAGAGTGAAAGAACGATCTACAGTGTGACTAAGACTGTAAATATAATTTATCACAGTGTCATAAGGATATGTTGTTTTGAGTCTTGTTTCAAAACTCTGGTTCATCCCTAGTGAGGACATAATGAGAATTACATAAACTGAGTTTAAGTGAAATATTAGACTAGATTTACAAGAGTACTTGGCTGCCTACAGATGCAAAACAACAGCTTTGTAAATCTGCTGTGTACCTACATCAGTCAGAGAACTAATTCTCATTAGCTTTAAGTGGAGATTGTGAACTAAACCATCTAATGCCTGTTTGGAGACTGTTTCTTAAGGTACCTTAGCACATTTGGTCCCCTCATTTGAATGCAATGCCAATGAAAGTGCGATTTCTGATGGCTGCTCAGATAGAAAATGAGGCCTGAATGACATTTTTTCAAGGAAAGAAATTGCTTTTTCATCTTTAATAGCAGCATGTCCAACATGCAAAGCTTGAATGCCCTGTTGCCATGCAAGAGCACTTTTTTATTATTTGAATACAAAACTAGTAGAAGTCACTTCACTATGTAAATTCTTCAACATAAGATGAAGTGCGATCTTAAGTCTCCCTCTGTGAAACAAGACTAGTTTCACATATGCAAACATTGCCATTTAAAATGATTTGGAAGATGATTCAATAAATGAATTTCAACAATGTCTTTCCGTTGACTGGAGTGCCTATTGATTAGTGATGAAACTGAGAGAAAACAAAAAGTGAGACTCTATTTTACATGAAAATGACACTATTCCTGCTCCATTCAACTTATTTGTTCAACAGTATTCAGTTAGTGAATGGAAGGATAAAGAGAAAAAAACCCTAACTTTATTTGTAACTGTTCTCCAGTTTCAGCATCTTCCCTTACTTTATAGTTATGGAATTATACAGTGTGACATATGGGAAGAGCTAGAGGAATTATCTCTTTCTCCATTACAGAAGTGGAAAACCAGCCCAAATTATGGGATCTTTTGAAGTGCAAGCTATTAGCTGCAGTCAATGTACTGTACTCAGTGCACCTACAGAGTCTGGTGAGTTGTGGAAAAATCTCATCAATACATTGCTTTCCTGACCCTCTCATTGATCTCACCTCTAAGAGATGAGGGATTTTCTAATACCTCCTGACTCCCATTTTCAATAAAGGTTTAAGGTAATTTTCTTCTCACTCATAAACTTCTTCTGTGTGTACACCATCATCTGGAAAACATGTTGTTTGATTTTTTGGCGGGAGCTGAGCTTTGTATGGAGAAATTAAAGTCTCATACATGCTTATAGCAAAACCAGCTAACTGGAGTGGAGGATTGTATGTCTTGGGGTATTTATATCACCTAAATATAAGTATCTAATTTAGGTGCTTAAATTAGGAAGTTAGGGTCCTCATGCTCCCTAATTCAGTAAGTTAAGATCCCGCTCTGAATCAGTTTTTGACTAAGCTTCTCTCTCCTCCATGGCTTTATGGGGAACCTATAGAGACTAGCTAACCTACATGCCAGCAATTAGTGAAGTGGACCTCCCCTCCACCCAGCCATGTGTTTCTTGGGTGAATATGCACATATCTGTAAGAAAGGAAGAAAGTCTTGGCCTGCTGAGGGGTGAGTGAGATCCTGTGTTCTTGGATGCTCACTCTTCATTTACCTGTTGTGAGAAACAGGATTTTGCTGATTGCTCAGTATAACCAAATGAAGGCCCTTCAAAAACAGCCGTGGGCAGCTTGAGAACTTCCCGCAGAAACATGTCATATCTGCCATAAACCATCACTCCACTGGAGTCGGAAATCATTGAGAAAATATCTGAGGGGGAGAAAAGACAAGAAAAGGAAATGGTAGTTTCAGTGAGAGCTACAAATTTGCTCTGAATTAAGATCATCTGATTTGAAACAGAAGTGCTAACCAACACATTATGCTTATGGAACCCTCCACTATTATGGCATCTTTAATTATAACCCACCTCAATAGAAAACAAAAATAATGATCTACATATAAAAAAGAAGCAGATTTTTATATTAAAATATTCCTGCTTTTTTTCACTGTGTGTGGTCATTTTTTTTAAGCACAGTCTGATGCATGGCATGAGGCAGTAATTTAATTAGATAAGAAGGATCTAATTTGACAAGCTACGCAACATCAGCTTTTTGCCTACTGCCAGTTTACCATGTCAAATCTAAATCTCAACAATGAGCTCATTAAGTCAGTTGTTATTGTTTTGGACACACAAAGCACTGACGATCTTTCAAATGCATTACTTTTGACTCTTCTCCGTTTTTTGCTTTTTTGTTCATGTATAAAAATATCAGTTTTATTATTGCAGAGATGTATATTTATCAGCCTTTAATTTTCCCCTTGTTTAAAATTATCCTAAGCTTATCAGGGGATCACAGACTAAGGAACATTTGTAATTTTTCCGGGTGTCATGTCAGCTGCTTCATTTCCAGGAACCTGAAGGGCAGTTCTGACAATAGGACCCTGGGACTGCTGACCCGAAACATGAGCATCATACTCCAGCCTTCCGCTGGATCAACCCTGCTCCTCTTCTTTAAGCAGCCTAGGGAACAAAGCGTTCAATTTATAATTTATAATTTAAGTTCAATCTGCATCTGAGTTTCTACACAGAAATAATATATTTAAAAATGCCATAAAATCTGGAAGACTAAATTAGCACCTGGGATTTCTACTCGTCTACTCCAATCCACAACAATTTGCAAACTCAATTTTCTTTGGCAGTGGTAGAAGACTCAGAAGAAACTGAAAGTTGACATTAATCCTTTTGTCAAAAAGTCCGGAAAATGGTGTTCTGGACATGAGCTACAGGCATCACAGCACTAAACAGAAAGTCTCTCGTTGCAGCTACAAGTAAACTATGCCTTGGCTATTGGGGAACTGGGAATAAATACTGTGAAATGAGAAATCTGTTCTCTCAAACAGAGGGAATTAGTATGTTCCCTATTGGAAGAAATATAAATAGTGCATAAATATATTGTACTTCTAAGTGTGAAATGAGAGATGTTACTAACAAAATTCTGAAGAAATTGCTAAGTGATGCTTCATGATGTTGAACATTTGAGGCACTTACCTGTACTCTGAATTCAATCATTCCAAAGGAAAAAAAAATCCACAAATTGGAACCTCAGTATATGCAATCTGCCTCCAAAAATATGAAGTCCGGTGTGAAGTTCAGTCAAACATTTAGCAGGATTTACCTGGAGATCTATATAGTGCAAATCCCAAACCTAGCCACGATATTATAACTTATCCTAATTCCCTCTTTTCCTACCTGTACTGTTATCTCTCCAAGTACTACACGGATTAACAGGTTAAAAAATGTGACCCAAAAGACTTACATCTTAATTTGTCCATGATCTTTCCTCCACAGAGAGTTGCCAAGGCCATTTTGACAGCAAAAACGGAAATTTTACCATGTCCTTCCCTGTTCAAAATCAGAAAGTAAACATATTTTAATGTCCATTTTATAATATGGACCTCTTTCCATTTAAAATGTATATAACCAAAATAACATACTCTAATGCACACTATATGTGGATTGACATACAAAGAAATAAGACCTTTAAAATGAAAGTTTGTTTTGTGGGAATACTCATCGGTACATTATTTTGTAAAGATCTCAGAACAGATTTACTACGTACATGAAGCTCAGTATTAAACTGTTTATCTCATTATACACTAAGGTGACGATTATTCCTGCTATTTGTGCTACAATAGCACAGGAAGGCACTTATCACACTCATGGTCTCCCTATCCTATGCGTACTGGGTATCTTCTGTCCCTATAAGATTGCAAATAAGTGCAAAAATCAACACTGGGAACAAAAGTGAAAAAGCAGAAAGGGCTCACATGATTGCACAAGCTGCATACTATACCTGTTAGTAAGTCCTGACAACTGCCTTTTAAATGATACAACTGACTCTCATGAACCTTTAAGAAGGACTTTGCTGAAAATCAGGGACTATATTTGCAGCCAGATTGAGCAAAGGATGTTTGTTGTGCTATATAGAAGAGTCTTGTCCCTGGCTTGCTAAAGTTGACGCTGTGCCTAGCTCTCTTATTTTTAACTTAAAATGCATAATGCTATTAAACCCCAAATGCACTCAGGACTATGCCTTGGGGCAAAAAACCAAAGTTTTTTCTGTAAGTGACTGTAAGTCCAGTCACTTTCAGGTAAAAATAAACGAATTTTTCTTCTCCCTGGAAGGATCAGACCATATACTTCACTCTCAGGATGCTCTGTTCACTTTTAGCACATTGCCAATTCTTCCTTCGACTGTCTTGAAGCACACAATGGCTTAACTTTATTGCTCCTCTTGCTATCCTCATTCTCCCTCTCTGGTCATAATAGTCCCCAATGATTACCTGCCATTATAGAAACTTTGGTATATTCGAGCTGCATGAGTAATATATGACTTCACACACTGCAAGGCACTCTTAGCTCCTAAAAGACCTATTCCCGCAGTTCACACAAAACTAGGCCCAGTGTTGACAGGAATGGCAGAACAAAAATGCTGTAACGTTCAGTCCCTTTCCAAAGATGAGAATGAATATGATCTCATAAATTCATCTGCTTTTTTATGTTCATTTTTTTGGAATACTAATGCTGAAATGTGATTTTTCTTTAAACTCTCAGAGTCATACTATGAGGCAGTAAGAGTCCACAGTGGAGCAACTTTTATCTGTCGTCCAAACTCCTTAGCATTAAATATCTTCCCATATGCCTGTTTAATGACATCAGTGAGAACATGTTGTCATCATGCTTTAAAAAAGACAGTCAGCTAATATTTGTGAGTTTAGCAAAATGGCACCCATGTCTCCCTCTGAATTCTACCGGTAGAGCTAATGATGGGACCAGATAATAAAGTTTGAAGTAATTTATGGGAAGTGGAGTTTCTGTGACCTTCAGTCTCTACCAGGGAACATTACACTTATAAGAGATTTTCTGTTAAAATATATATAATTATGTCTTACATAAGTCTAACTGCACTGGCAATAGCAATATACAGAAATTCAACTGTTCATCAATATTTCTGAAACTGCTGACTGTCATAATTCTAATGCAAAAAATTGCGTCTGATCAGAACTAAAAGATAAACTGATTCTGTAAAGACACAGAGCCTGTGACTGTCTCTCTCTGCTAACCCCAAACCTGACTAATACAGTAACATATACATACATAGTAGACATGATTGGTATACACATATCAGTACATTAAAGCATGCTACATGCTTTAAGTCCCTCAGACTTTAGAAAATGAGTCAGTTCCCTAAGCTTGGCTAGCTAATAATCTTTAAAATTTGGTGAATTGGATTTAGTCCACATCTGTGTGACCCATGATTTTAAATATTAATTCTAAATATTCTTTACACTCATTTAAAATCCTTTTTTGTCAGAAAATCAACTAGAGATACAGACAAAAAAAAAAATCACTACTTTGGTATTTAAGAAATAAATCTTTACTGTGTTCTTTAATGATGGCTTTCGTGCCCTTTTTTTTTTTTTCATTACATTGTGTTCTCTTTGAGTGGCTTCGTAAGATTAAATTCACAGTATAGACATTTCCAGTCTTCTGTACTTCCATTTTCATTAAATGGATTCTGATTTGTGTAAAACAGGACCTAGCACTATTATCGCTGAGAATTTGGCCCTTTTGTATTCTTTTTGTGTGTGCTACCCTTTAGACCTTTGGGACTTTTTCTGCACTGTACCATCATGAGGTTTTCGCCTGCCTTTAAGAGAATTGTTATACTTAAGAAAAATAAATGCTAAGTGGAAGCAATGGAATTCTTAAAAGCAATGAAAGAATCAGAGGAAAAACTAAAGCCCATGCGGAAGTGCTTCAGATTTAGATTAATTTTCCCACTAGGTTTAGTTACATTTACTAATAGGATTATATTTTTGAATGGCAGACACATATCAACTCGCTTTCAGCTTTCAAGCCCAGAGCCACTGGCCTTTCCCATACTCAAACAGTTACAGAACAGAGGAACAGAAATGAAAAGATTTCATTTATCTCTTCAATCTCTCTGTTTGAGTTGATTAGTTTTGACATTGTATTTTGTATTGGTCATTTGTATTCATAAAGGCATCATTAGAGCCAGTATAAATTCAATTTGCCCTTCAAATATATATATGAATGTGTGTGTCTGTGCATACATATACACAGATGCATATATAAATATATATGACTGATGAACGGACAGGACAATGGGGCCTAAGACTCACCAATATAATTTGCATCCAGAAGTGCCCTAAGCTATGTCTAAGCACTACAGATGCCCTTGACTGGCAGCACTAGGGCTTCACAGTGTTTGCTGTGTAAAAGTAAATGCTGAAGCAGTGGCTCACAGCAGCATAAAGATCTCAGCTGAAGTCAGAGCTCCCTGAAAGAAGCTTTAGGTTGTCTAATGCAAAGAGATATAAATTTTACTAGTGGAAACAGGAGAGGACAGAAAATATTTGATTTTATATAGCCCCTCTCTTACTAAGGTTACTCTTCAGATCCTAGCACGAGAAGCACTAGAAGAATAAATGATGGCAAAAGCAAACCTTGAAGCTGATGTGCACTTAGCAACAACACAGGATGGAGTGCTCAGGAAAGGGAGTGATGGCCAGGGATTAAGGTTATTTCCTGCTGCTTGGGGAAAAAAGGGAAAAAAATAATACATGCTTTTGGACACCAGAACAGAGCAGAAGGTTTACTCTTCAACTGCGTGGCTGCAGAGAGACAGGCTCTCCCTAGAGCAAGGAAGCCCCACAGACTGCCTGATAAAATCCATACACCATACGAGGTTAAGTCCAGCTCCAGGGTCTGAATTTGCCTTTTGGGTCAGCAAGGAGAGTAGAACCAAATGGGTGACACTGACATTTGTCAGGATCTCTAGCAATACCCATACTGAGACAGTCATATGATGAGGAAAGCTATAAAGAAGTAACATCACATCTTTAGAAATAGTAAATGTGTTCCATGAAACGGACATCGAGACCATTTTTTCTCATTAACTAGGCATGGAGTGGTGCTTCCCTGATGCTTTAAGTTATCTTTTCCAAAAGTAATGAAACTTCTTTGGTTACTTGTGGGCCTCCTACTGCTCACCTTATTTAGGGTAGCAAATTCTGAAACGTCAGAGGATGTAACTACAAATTCCCATTTTCACAAACAGGTTTCAGGAGGAAATTTTATTGGAATCAAGCAAAATTCTTTCATTTAGGAGAGCAAAATGCATAATGACCTGAAATGCATTTTTTTTCTGGACTTCCTTGGTAAAAGCTGGCTGCCCTGTATGACTTTCAGTGACTACCAAAGGTGGAGAAGAGAGGGAATTAAACACTTCACAGCTCTGAATAGATAGATATACTTCCAAAAGAGATACTGAACATCTTTATGTATTGAACTCAGTATGATTGAAATGTGCATTTGATTAAATAAGGGCATGAATATTTACTCTTTTGTTTGTAGACGTCAAGACCCTCCAGCCAGACTGGGTCTGTTTCATAGCCCAGAGCTCACAGCTCCATTCATAGGACAGGTGTGTCAAGGAACAGAAAAATATCAGCTATTTTCTTGTCAGTTAAAGTCTGCAGCAAGAATAGCTGTATTGCAGTACTGAGTCAGTGCCGAAGATAATCTAGCACAGAATATTTTACAATCTGTTTAAGAAGAATCTTTTTGGGAATGGCTCAACTGAATGAGGCTGACATTCTACCGAGCCACCTAGTCTTTGACACTGGCCTGGAACGAATTTTTCAGAGGTATGAACTTGTCATTTTTTTATATAGTACTTGTGTGCCAGTGAAAGAAGTATGCCATTATTTCATAAAGCCACTTCATCACCTTAGACCTTGAAGCAAAAGCTATTACTCATTTTTAATGTGCAGTTGAAAACACAAATCAGGCATGTTTTTGTTCAGATTTCTTAAAGTCTGACCACCTCATTCTGCTTTTGGTCTGTTGGGGTCCTCTACCACATGATGCTGATTTTCACACACTAACAGCAAATTAATTGGAACAGCATTTTTGTTTGTGAATTTTGATTTTACTGACTTGCAGTTTTGTCAGTTTACACTTTAGTCTTGTCTTAGCATGAAGGAGCACCACACTCAGTGTCACATGAAATCTCATACAGTATAATTTTTTCCAACTTTTTTCTCCCTTCAGGACTGAGCACAGGGAAATACAATTACCTGTACCTAATGAATCCCCAATGCCATGAAAAAATCATAAAAAAACTGGGATGAAAGTTCAGGACAGGCAGTGGGCAAGCTGGCCCACATGCCATGGCATTGCACTGTGGCTCCTCTTAAGTTTTGCTAGTCAGATTCTAGCTCCTGAGAAGACATCGGTGTTGCACACCTGGGGAAATACTCCCTGACAGAGGGCAAGAGAAACCTGAGAAGTTTTCAGCAGGCGATAAACAAAGCAAGAAGCTAAAGCTTACAGTAACTACAGCCAGCACAGTACATGTGGAGCAGTACATATTAACTAGAACTAAATAAATGAGACAGTGGTTGGCTTATTAGATTTAATATCACATATTAACTTGTTCTTTGTGGTCCTTTCATATATGTTGTTGCAGACTCCATTTCTCCACTCTCTGTTTTCAAACAGGACAAGAGAAACTGCACAACCTTTTCCAGACCTGCCCACAGTACAGTCGGAGCAGCCATCTCTCTGCACAGCCACAAACACCAAAAACATCCATGATCACTTATAACAGCCTTCTCATTTATGCTGAAGAGCTATTTGGTCTTGGAAAGCTGTTCTGGGTTTTTTAGGGTTTGGGGTTTTTTTTTGTTGTTGTTTGCATTCATAGAATCAAATGTGATCACATTAACATTCATTAATAAACATGAAAAATAATTCTTCAGTAGTCACCTAGAAATTTGGATAGCATTTCTGCAGGCCAACTGTTTCCTTAAATCAGAAGGAATAGAGGAGTGAACCCAGATCAAAGATAACAGGATTATTTTAGGGGTAACTGTCATGATTTCAGTATGATTCATGCACCTGGTAAAACCCCTTTTTTCATCAGAGAAGACTGCAGGCAATTTAGTTTAACTGTCCAGTTTCTATAAATAGGGGGAGAGCGAGAAAAAGACTTCATCCTGCCTCACAGTTCCCCCTACATGCAATGCATTGCTACCCTCTGAGCATGGGATCACAAGAAAACACCTTGCTCCTTCTTCTACCAACTTAAAGCCTTCAGCAGAGAAAGATCTTTCTGCTGCAGTGCAGGGGAGGGGAGGGAAGGGAGCAACATGGGAAGCAGACACATCAGCTCTGGTTAGACCCCAGCAGCTCTCACTGTCCCTGTAGCATGCAGAGCCACTTCCCTCCCTCTGTTACCCATAAACAGGGAAATCTGGACCACCAGTGGTTGCTAAACCAACACCTGACCCAAAACTTCAATAATCTGAACCATACTAAGGAGTAGGGCACATTCTGAGAATCAGAGGCTTAAATTGTATGTCTGTATCTGTGATAGGTGTCCTAACTCCCATTACAGTAAAGCGCGATCTAGTTAACACACATCTCCATGAAGCCTGAACTTAGGTATCTCAGACTGCACCTAAACCTCATCCCAGATGTTTGGTGTATTTAAAATGGTGTGATAGGCAGCCAGTCCCTATCCCAGACGCCAGAGCTGAGAGACTTCCTGGGGGTCCTTTGGGTGTCTCTGTCCTTCTGGGAACTGCACCCTCTGCACCCCATTCAAAGCATGACAGACTGAGTTGCTGTTTGGCAAATGGAGTGAGGGTCACAGCCTCTTCAGCCCTGGGAGGGCCTGATGTGAGCCCAGAAACAGGTCACAACCCACAGCACACAGGATGTTTTCGGGGAAAGCAAAACCTTACCCCTTTAAGCACATTCTCTGTTTCCCTACTGGGGAATAAATTCCTCTCCTTCATTTTGCTGCAAGTAGCTTTGATATCTAGCTGAGATCTTTACCCCTTTACAGTGAGCTACAAACCAAGCATGTTATCGCAGGTCTTGCTTCCACAGTCCTGGGTCTTTCCCTGTGTTTACCAGCTGGGGAGCAGTTTGCTTCCAGCATGCAGCAATGGCCATCTTCACCATCCTTTAGTGTTCTTGTTACAGCCACAACGGTATCAAATAAGATGCCTGTTCCTTCTTTTACTGCCCTTGAGGGGACAAAAGTATTCCTAAAGGCTACAGTTTCACAATGGATTGGCTTTTTTTTCTTCCCTTTGGAGGGTCCGGAGGGGAGGTTGGGTGCAGCCTCGTCATGTGGAACATCTACTTTTTCTCCCCGTTGCCATGGTGACTGAGCCAGCTGGCTGGTCTGGCTCTAAAAGGTGCTCAATGACACCCAGCATCAGGGCCCTCAAGCAAGAGGATGGGAAAGAGAGAGGGGGAGGGGGCAGGATCCTTATTTTAATGTGTCATGACCAGTGTTTTCAGCCGGTGAATTTTCAAAATGTAAACCATAGGACACAATAGGTCATCTGCATCTGTCAAACTTAACCACTGTTCTCCAATAATTTGTTTTTTAAGACTGCAAATGTTACAGTACAGGTTGACAACTATGTATTCAGAAACTGTAGTATGTATACACAGTATACTCATTAAGGTAAGTGGCTCGCGCTATCTCAAACTTGTCCCTTTTGTAATACAAGTCCCATGCAGTAATAAACAACATGAATTTCATCACCTCCAGGTCTTTATCCTATTTCTGTCATGGTCTGAAAATCATGCTGCACTGGCATGAGCCAGAAGAAAAAATTGCTTACAGCTGCAAGAACTTGCAGGAAAATAAGCTCTTTCAAAATAATGAGCCATTAACCCATGGCACCGCTGCAGAGGCATTGCAGTGGTGTCAGCCACTGGTGTGTCAATAAATAACAAGGCAAATTAGAAGTGGATGTAAATTTGTTTCTGTAGATAATTCTTTTTTGATATAAACTGGAACAAGTCTGAGTAACTGGATGAAAACACAGTTGTGCTGAATTTGGCTCGGCAGAAAGGAAAGCAGAGGTCCTTAATTTAGGTTCTCTCCCTAGTTAGCACTATTCACATGCTCATTATTTGGGTCACAATTTAGCTTGTTCAATTGTTTTCCAAAGATATTTTGGAGCAAGTAAAATCCTTTTACCAGTTGGGAGAAGAGGGAAGCACAAGTGGCTAAGAAAGGCAGACTTACGGATCAAAGGCTGCTAGCAAGAAGTTGAGCAGTAAGCTGATGGATTGCTCCACGTTTATCTGGTGGGTTGTCGGCATCCGTTTGTTGAGCTGGTAGAAGATAGTTGAAATCACAGCTTCCAGGCGAGCCACGTTCAGTTCGATGTTGGGATCCAGGTTGTTCAGTGCGTTTTCCCGTAAGGCTTCTATCACATTCCAGATGTCCACCAGGTGCACTAGGGGACAGGACAGAAACAGCTGGTGGGGACACACGCTCCTGAAAGCAACTGAGAAAAAAAGTCGCCTCATCCCACAGGGTGGGGAATAACACAATCACACAAGACACGCTTCATGAATAATTAAATGAATGAATGTTTTTTCCATCACTGAGAATTGGTGAAGGAATAAGCAAATAAAATTCAGATCTGTTAATAAGCAAACAATATATTGATATTATTAGTTGTAATGTGTACAACTTCACACTGGGAAATCATTCCTTATTGTATAAAGCATTCAACTAAAAATCTGTATTTTACGGAAATCACTGGAAGGTAAATATATGCTAATTGTTTTTCTGAACCATGCCTCTATGAATACCCATTCAGAAATTACTCTTAGATATTAATTTGCATAGCAGATGGGCTTTTCAGAAGATCCTACGAATATTAAGTGCTTAACACATAGTGACACTTTGAAAATTCTTTTCAGCAATTTGTATGGAAAGCGAAGTATTTCACAGAAATAGAATTTTAATTGAGTCAGAGTAGACAAGCTACATTTAAACAAAGAACACGTAATGAAGTAATCCCAAAGTCTTATTCTGTGTCTTCTAAATATATTTACCAAATAATTTGTTAAATCTCTCTCTTTGATAAAGTCCTGGTCTAAGCTGAATTTCATGGGTGTGTTTCTAGCTTAAAGGACATTCTCTACCCTTCATATTGTGCCCAAACAGAAATCTTGTTTGCATAGCACTGTTATTGTGGTAGTATGATTGGCTTGTCACAGATTGGCATTTCCACAAGCGGTGGACCATGCCAAAAATTAAAAAAAAACATTACAGTCATGCAAAATTTGAATTTATTTCAAACCTGAACTCAATCAAACATCCCTTTTTTTACCTACTGTCCCAGTAAACTGTCAATAAGAAATAAATCATGGTTCAGGATGCAAATTCTTTTTTTTACCAGAGAAACTACTGTATAGTTTTTTATTATTTAGCATGACATTATGTCTTATGACATATCAAGAGTCATCTGTATGTGGAATGAGATACATTTTTTTGTGGATAGAGAAATCTAATTCTAATCCTCATAATTATATTTTTACTTTCTAGGTTTGCAGGTGCTGTCTCAGACTGCAATGCAAGATGATGGTTTGATGGCAGGGAATTTAAGCTGATACTAGATAGATAAATGAAATCAGATATACTGTCATTTTACTCAGTTTAGAATTTTTCCCTATGAGTGGTTATTTTCTTCTACCTCAGGAAAAAAAAATCTCTAATGCCCTGCTACTGCATGTCTAAGCCCAAGGAGGAAGGTACACCAGACAGGTGAGCAGCAACAGCAGCAGCGACTACTTCAGGCACTAGACAAGGCACTTTTCCACTTCTTGCTGTTCCTTAGCAAATAATTGGGAAAAAACCTGAAAGATGCAGTTCTATTGTGATAGCTAAATATTTATTTGGCTTTGGTATTAAAAGGACACTTCTATAGGTGACTTTGTATGCTGTCAGGTTGTCTTCAGAGTGCTGTTCTTAATGGACGGAGCATACAACCTCTCTGAACTGCTTCTTTTTGTCTTTTAGCTGGAGGGAAGTTTCCCTGTAAAAAAAAAAACTGGCTTAGGTCTCATATCCTGTTAATGCAGCCATTCTCATTCAACTAGTTTTCACGGTCAGGTTACTATAGAGGTAGTCTGGGTAAATGGGAGATGAATGATCTCCAGGAAGATGGCCTGCACATAATAAGTGACCCTTTCTGGGCAGCTTCTCCACATGGCTCAGAGGCCAGACCAGGCAGAGTACGGAAGAAGTCACCAGAAAGCAGGACACCGTCTGGTCCAGGACAAAAGGGTGAATGAGCATTTCCCGCTCTGGGTCACCACTTGGGCAGCCAAGGAAGAAATATGGAGCAACATGCCAGAAGGTGCAGCAACAGGCTGGATCCATGTGAAAGTATTGTTGTGGCCTGATTAAGAAGGGAAGGGCAGGCAGAAAGCAGAAGGGTGAGCATGATGTTTCCCTCAAGGTCTAGCTGTTGCTGGCCATGAGGGCTATCGCTGGTAATTCAGATCAAGTAGATGAAGGAGAAGGTGTTTCTACCAGCAGTTGCTGGGTGTGAGGGTATTTGTGCGAACTGTTGAACCTGAACTGTAGCTACACTAACAAGATAGCAACATGGGAAATTACCAGGCATAACAAATAGCAAAAAGGCAGTAATGCATATGCAGGTGGATAACTTTGACTTGAGCCTCCACTTACAAGATAGCAACCTGGGAAAAAGCACGAACACGGGTACTAGCTTAACAGCACTGCTGACTGAGGCAGAAATTACTAGGGCAATGCTATCATAAATACTGAGTAAGGATGTAAAATCAGCAACATTGGAACTAGTGGTTAAAGAATAAACAGAGACAGGCTCTTTATCTGGGTGTGCATGAGCATGGCAGAGAAAAAAGCATAGGGGTGGAAAAGGGAAATATAAAGACTAACTAATCATGTCATCTGAGCTGCCTGGGCATGTGTCTCAAGCAGCCCTGCACCTGATCAGGGCAGAGGATGGAACACAGCAGTTTGACCACGTGTGTATCTAGTAGTTTACTTCTGCAGTCATGGGGAACTGCAATGGTTTCCCCAGCACTGATAAAAAGACATCCTGGGCAGATGAACCAGACATCCAGGCTCCCTAACAGAGATAATTTAATTTCATGCAGCAATTTAACTTTAATTGTTATAGCCTAGTAGTGGAAAACTCTTGAATAAGAGAGCATGGAGGAAAACAGCTGGCATAAAGAATGAGGCTAAAATGGAGGTTGGTGTCCCTATTCTTCACATGATTCAGTACTGATACTATGTGGCTGTCAGATTTTCATGTTTGGTTTTTTTTTTATTTTTTCTTTTCCCACTGATATTATATTTTTCATAACATAGCCATATCCAGGGTTAGTTTTGATGATGGTCCTGGGAAGGGAAATATCCAGAGGCTAGCAGACGTGGGCCTAATAATATCAGTACACTAACACATCTGAGAGAAAAATATTGGTTTTAGCCTTAACTCTAACCTAAAAGCCTCATAAGCTATCTTGATATTCATTGGTATGCCAGAAAGGTAGGGCACAAGACTAAGAAAATGACTTACTGGAAATTACACAGCAGTAACAGTCCCCCACCCACCATAAAATATTAGTCTCAAGGAACTGCTGTGCATTTGTACTATAAATAATTTTACTTGGGCTTTTTTTTTTTTTTTTTTTTCCCCAGAAACACTTTGGTTCCACTTGAAGCTGAATAAACAACAATCTTACTGCACTATTTTATTTTGCATTTTATTCATGAATTTCACTTCTCTCTACAGAGATTTCCTGGAGGAGGAAATGGAAGATGGACAAGAGCCAGACATTTAACAAGATCTACTAATTTTGAAAATATCGGCTGAAACGTCTAGCTCAAAATCACAAGGAGAGTTTGTTAAACTGCTGTACAGAGGACTGAAGTCTTTGGCCTTTACTGAAGTCAGTTGCTACGGTCAAGAATTCACCCACCTAAATTTAAAGGTCAAAAATTAGGTGTCTGCTGTCAGCTGGTGGTCAAGGTTCCCTCTAATGTCAGTGAAAGAAAAATGCACCTTAAAGCAGCTGTTTGGAGATAGGTGGGATAAACAGCGCTTTGAAGGTACCCATATTTCTTCAGTGACAAAGCCTCAAGTGACAAGTTTACACGAGACACGTAACCTCAGAGCCGGTAAAGTTAACCAAGATCAGTCTCACACCTTGCTCTTTAAACATTAAGAGGTCTTTTCTGATGTGCCTACTACATGGTCTAGAATAATTCAGGTTTTATATAAAATATGAATAATAAATACTTTAATCTGTATGAACAGCTACCAGATCTTGTCATAGTCACAGTCTCTTAGACTGATTGCATCGCATAACCTTGCACAGATTACATCTGGGGGTAGTGCCTTACTGATCACTTTGAATCCTATTTTTTTTAAGTTTACTCACATAGTTAGCGAGTATGAGAGATATAGAGAGATATTATACCATGCTGAGAATTACATATTATACCATGCATCAGTCAGCACTGGGAAAAGGCAGAGTAAAACACAAGTTCTCTGCTCCACTCTATTCATTTGTACTATTAGAAATTTATGCCTACAGCTAATATGATATCTGTTGTCTTTTCAACGTAATAACAGAATTTAAACGTTGCAAACTTTGCATAAGCTTATGTTCCTCTCATTTTAATTTTCATCCCCTCTGCTACCCATTTTCTGTAATACCTACTATGCTCATATTTATTTATCCATCTCTGCGATTGCTTTAATCTCACTGAAGAAGGCACATCTCCTTACTTTGTTTGCACAACATGTAGTGCAATAAAACCCGAATGTTATTTCTACATACTCCTACGATGCTAACAAGAAGAGTTTACAGTGTAACAAACCAGCTTACAGATGCAGGGGAACTTTCACTCTCCTGAAATGTGTCTTAAATTCCCTCAACAAAGTCGAACTCCACATACTTGTTTTTAACTTCTCATTGCTGTTGCTGCTTTTGTTGCCTTACCCACATTTCCCTCTGAAAAGGCAATTACCCCTCAGTATGAGAAAGATGCCCTTTCTGAAATAGATCTGTAAAACTACAGAAATCTGCCAGCTGTTCTTCAGTGTCAGCAGTTGATCACTAGGTAGTAGGAGTAAAAGCTGCTTGTATCTAGCACCTGTGTGATATAAGGCAATCCAAAATCACGCAGCCCAGCCAATCTTCACAGACCCTTCAGAAAGGCCTCGCACTCGATACGGCTATTCAGGTGTAGAAGACCATCATTTGCCTGATGTCTGAAAAAAATGTAGATTTCCACAAGCAATTGCTAAACTATACATTTCCCTTTAGATTTTCTGTTAAGTGTATTTCTAAAGTCACAGCTAAGCTAAACATCTGCATTATTAGATCTTCTATGGCAAACACTGTCTGCTAATTTAACTTTTATGAGATTAAGTAATATTTAAAC